GTGTAAAAAATTAAATGCATTTATTGGATAAATTGATTATTAAGAGCTGTTTTATGCAGGCTACTACATTAAACCTAGTGACTGGCAGGAATATGCTTCTGGTGGCCATGGGGATTAAACCAGGTGAAACCATAGTCATTATCATTTCATTAATATGAAAATAGTGGAATGGAACACTCAGTAAATGTTGCGTGCGCATGTGGCTAAGTAAAAGAAAACTCCTGTGTTGACTGGACCAGAGGTTCTGAAACCTTGCTAATCAGAAACACTTGGGAAGCTTTTAAAAATTACCTGATCTCTGGAAATGGGGGCCCTAAAATCTGTATTTCCGAAGTTTCCCAGGTGATTACAACGATAGGCTCAGGAACCTCTGATCTAGATTCTCCTTGGGCCACTTGCAGGCAAGTCACTGGTTGAAAACTGCTAGAGTAGGTACAAATCTAAGAGATGTCATAAGGAAGCCTATGATTGGTTACCTGGGGAGTGGGTGATGCAGACAGTGCTTGGAGTTGAGAGGAGGGAAGGTTGGAAAGACTTGGGAAAGCTTCAGAGAGAGGACTGGAGATTTCATGGGCCAGATTTTGAAGGGCGGAGAGTCTTCTAGATAGGCACCACCATCAATTGTTTAGATAAGGTGAGCAAAAGAAGGTCGAGATACCTGGGCTGATTTCCTTGGAAAATTCCATGGCATTTATTAGAAATTACACTGAATGCTCTGTGTGGATGTTTCTTAGGCAAAATTCACAAGTCTGATTGGATTTTCCATCTCCCCATCCTACTTGGCATCAGTTGGTGTGAGTACAAGGAACACAGATTTATTTTCATGTTAGCCTCACTTTGGCCAATTAGCTTCTTTAGTTTTTATTTATTTCCAAACTTAATTTAGTTAATGACCTTCCCAGGAACTTTTCAGGACTCCCAGAGTGTTCTGTTCTCCTTCTATTTAGCTGTTTTTAGATCCAGTCATCCTGATTCTTATCCCAAGAACTGTTCTCCATGTGGGGTGTGACCAAAATCTCTTCCTACAAGAAGCTGCTTACATTCTGTTCGCCCAATTCTGAAACCTGACTCATCTTTGTCTCTTCCTTCTCCCTTGATTTCCCAAATCCATTCAGTTGCTAAATTTTATCGTTTATACTTTTCACTCAATCAACAGATGTTTCTTGGATACTTCCTAAGAGCCAGGTACTACACTAGATGCTTTAAATGCATTAATTCATTTTATCTTCATAGCAACCCTACGAAGATGCATAGTGTTCCCATTGTACAGATGAGGAATCAGTCATAGAGAGATCGTATAACTTGCCCAAGGTAAGAAAGCTAGGCAGCAAAGTAGCTGGCGTTTTTCAGACTTCATCTCTCTTGTATCCATGACCCCATTTCCAGAGCAGATTCCAACTCCGTAGCCTAGTGCCTGAGGAGCTGCTGCCCTCCAAATCTGGTCACACCGTCCTTTTCTCACCTGACATCCTTTAGTGACTACTCATTGTCTCATATGCTTTCTTCTATGCCTTTGTGCACACTCTTTCCTCTACTCGAAAGCCAACTCTTCCCATCTTCCCCTGCTCTCCACTCCCAAGCTAAAAGAGCTCTCTTTCTTCTCAAAACTCCTGTGATATTTTGTTTGACGTTTTTTTTTATGGCAATTAGAACTTTCAGCTGCTTTGTTGTCATGTGGGTGACATGTGTCTTGTGCCCATGCCGTAGGTCTTCTGCCATTGATGACAAGGGAAAAGAAAGGTCAGGGTCTGAAACTAAGCAGCACACATTCAACTTCACTCTAGCTAAACAACCCCCTCACTGCATTAGGAGCTTAGCTTCTTAAAAAGAATTGGGATTATTTTAAAATTTGCTGCAGAGAAACAAAATGAGGATGTCTTCATTAGTAAACATCTTCATTAGTAGTAGGAAGAAAATAGTTTATAATCTTCCACAGTTAAATGGAATGACATTAGGATTATTGGTTCTTCGGGGTTTTCCACTGGACCAGACAACTGGCAATCAGGAGATCTATGTGTAATATTAGTTCCACTTGTGACCTTGAGCTGCTTACTTAACCACTTAGGACCTTGATTTCTTCATCAGTAAAGTACCTGTGTGTACTGGGCCAGCGGGGAGGATTGTGGGCTTGGTGGGGGGGGCGGTGGTAAAGGTGATTGTGGGGAGGATTGGAAATAATCTCTAAGGTCTCTTGCCCAGATATGCTTTGACTTGAACTCTCTGATCCATTCCAGAGTGTCTTAACACAGAAAAATGTGATGATTAAAAATGTGTCGTCAGTCTTCAGCCATGCTACCCTGAACAAGCCCGATCCCTTCTGATCTTGGAAGCTAAGCAGTGTCGGGCCTGGTTAGTACTTAGATGGGAGACCACCTAGACAGATCAGGTGCTGTAGGTGTTAAAAAAAAAAAAACATGGCATCAGGACTCAGTATATTGATGCAAGCAATGGATCATTCAGTTTTTTTTAAACAAAAAAGGAGATTTATTGTTGACTCATGTAACTATAAAGTAGGAGTGAGTCAGGTTTCAGGTATAGTCTAATCTAGGGATTGTTAATGTCTTTACAAGTATGACTCCATTCCTCTGCTGTCCTCCATAGGTAGTTTCATCCTCAAGGTAGCAAAATGTCTGCAACAGTTCAAGGCTTTGTATCTGTACAGCACTATAGTTCAAAACAAATAACTTTTCCATCCTAAACTGTTGGGAGCCAAGCCAAAACTAAGAACAAAGAATCTTGTGACTAGGCGAGGCCTTATCTGCATCCTGCATCTTGTTAGCCCGCTAGCAGTCAACCCAGCCCAGAGTTACAGTTCCCTCCTTCACTCCCACTCCCTCTAACCCTTACCACTCCTCACCCCACCAGCTAAGAACCAATGCGCCTGTGACAGATACTCTCCTGCCCAGCTAGCCCTGCCCCCCTTTGTTAGCCCTGTATAAATACTCTTGCTGCTGAATAAAATTTTGAGGCTTGATCAGAACACTGTCTTGCCTCCATTCTTTTCTCCCGCCCATGTTTTCTTCAAGGTATGGTCCTCCTCGGGTTCTACGCAATAACTAGGTCCTGCAGGTCGGGACACTAAACCATCAAACCAAAGTCCTGGGCTTTACCCTGGTTGGACCAACTTAGGTAATGTACCCATTCTTCCATTTACTGACCAGAGGAAACCATGGGCTGATTGGCTCAAGTCAATTTAGGCCCAACTCTAGAGGTTAGAGAGGGGTCTGCCACACCCAAATCACAAAGCTATTTTGTAAGAGGATGAGATAGAGTGGACATCGAGAAGTTGAATATTGAGAAGTTTGATCACATTCTCCACAGTTAACAGCCACATTACCCATGACCAAATTCTGGCTTTGCCTTATGTTCTTGGGTTAATTACCTGACTTTATCAAGCATTATTTTTCTCATCAGTAAGATGAGATAACAATACATATCGCAGAGGACTGTTGAAAGGATTCAGTTAAATAATACACATACAGCACTTAGTGTAGTTCCTGGCACAGAGTAAATGTACTGATGGCGGTGGTGTCGATAGTGATGAGACTGAAGAAGGATAGAGAGCAATGGCATTAGCTCCAATATAGGAAGCAGCCAAGTTACAGGAATTTTTTCTAGTCAGAAGCCATTTACATCTGCCATGTTGAAGGCTCCTGTTTGATCTACTGCCCTCATTATACTCTTCCCTATCTCTTCCCTGTTTTGCTCTGTCCTGTCTGGAAATGCTTTCCTTCTCCCCTGTCTCTAAGTCTTCCTCATGTTTCAAGGCCCAAGTATAAGCGGCACCTTTATAGTTAATAGTTTAGGTCAATGATTTTGTAATTATACGGTTGACCCTTGAACAACACAGGGGTTAGAGGTGCCGTCCCCTCCTGCAGTCAAAAATCCATGCATAACTTTTGACTTCCCCAAAACTTAACTACAGTTGAGCCTTGGTATCTGCATGGGCTGGTTCCAGGACTCCCAAGGGCATCAAGCTCCACAGATGCTCAAGTCTCTTTTATAAAGTGGCATAGAACAGTGCATACAGTTGGCCCTCCGCAGCTGCAAATTCCCAAGCACGATTCGAAAATACAGTTTTTTTGATCCACTGTAGGTTGAATCTGAGGATACAAAACCCAGTTATATGGAGGGCTGACTGTATATTTATTGAGAAAAAAAATTCATGTATAAATGAACCTGTGCAGTTTAAACCCTTGGTGTTTAAAGGACAACTGTATAACTGAGTCTCCTCATGAGAAGGATCAGTAAGTGTTGAGAGCTCAGATCTGGATTAGACAGGCTTGGGTTTTGCCACCGTTAAGCAATGTGACTTGGGAAAGTTATTCAACCTCTTTCTACCTTAATGTCTTCACCTCTAAGATAGTACCTTCCTTAGGTGGTGGTGGAGGGGATGAAATGATATAATGTATGTGAAGATCTTAGTTTAATGCTGACACAGAATAAATAATAGGTCTAAGTAGTTATTTCTCTTTGCTTCATGAAGACAAGGTCTGTGTTATAGTCTCTGCAGCAGTTACTGCTGTGCTGAGCACAGAAAAGCTGCTGAGTAAACACTTATCAGTGGGTTTTGAGGAGCATGGAAGCGCTCTCTGCTCTTCATACCTGTCTCATCCCCCAAGCAGCCCCTAAACCTTGGCAAAAGCACATGATATGGAAAATTGAATGAGTCACTGGCAGAGAAGACAGGATGACGAGGAGGGGTGGACAGGGTGGCAGATGACATGTGTAAGCAATAGGAAGCTAAGAGGGAACCAGCAAGAAGCCGTTCTGTGTTCCACTCTCCAGCTGTCAAGATCAGCACGCTGCTCGTCATCATTCAGTCCAACCGGTGTTGAAATGGGGGTCAACCAGTCCTTGCGCTTTCCACCTGTCACAGGACCCCACCTCGTGGGCTGTGGGGATGTGATGGAGGGCCAGAGTCTCCAAGTAAGTATCTCCAGCTTTGTTCCTGCACATCTCCACTGCTGCTGCCTGTACCCTGACATTGATAGCCAGTCTGATGGTGCACTTTCAGGTGAGAGAAACTGAGTTAGAGCTGGTCTGGATTTGATCATAGAGCTCCTAAGCCTGTCTTCTCTGACCTTTTTCTTTCTCGTTCCAGTTAGAAACCTCTCACTAGAGATGATGGGTTCTTTTTCCAGCTAGGAGGAAAGGAGGGCTCTGGCTTCAAAGGCAGCTCTCAGATCTATATCTTGAGAGCAGATGCCTGACCCTGGAAAGGTTTTCAGTCTCACACTAATCTGAGTGTGTGAGAGGAAGAGCCGTAGGCCTTTGACTTCCCAACCTGGATAGGAAGACAGTCTCCTTTTTCTCATCTCCTGTCTTCATTTATTTTCCTCTCCTGTTTTGGTTCCAGATTTTTTCTCCATCAGTTCCTACATTTTTCTGTGCTGGGACCTTGGACTTCCCTCTCCCTTGCGAGAGGCATATACTTCCTGGTAACCTCTCACCTACTCCTGTGTAAAATGAGTGTGTTCCTGCTTCCCAAGGGCCAGCCTGGAAGTGACGCCCTAATGCCATCCCATTCAGCATGAAGGCTGATCCCTCCTGCCACTCTTCCAGGCCTGGGCTCAGGGACAGATTTAAATCTTTCACTGTCCCAAGCACTGAAAATATTTTGGTGCTTCTCAGTCATAATTAAAAATACAGTTGGATATTGAAATAGCATAAGCCTTATATGTATGCTAAAAATAAAATTGCTTCTTTCTGGATTTTCTGAATATAAAATTCAGGTATATGAGTTGAAACTAAAGTTTTCCCATTTTGGTGTTTTGTTGGTGCCCCAAACACCTGCTGAGTGTGTCTGTTGAGAAGTCTGGCAGTGCTTGGGCTTCTTGCTCTGCTCAGCTGCTCTCTTCTTTCGTACAGGGGAGCTTCTTTCGACTCTTCTACCCGTGCCAGGAGACAGGGGAGACCATGGAGCAGCCCTTGTGGATTCCCCGCTATAAGTACTGCATTGATCTGGCCAATTCCCTGCAGTTTAATAACTGCTGGTGGCATTTACTGTTCAACCATGCTTTGGGTAAGAGCTGGCCTCACCCCTCAGATGCTTTCCCAGATTCTTGGTTATGTTCCTAGGAGATCCCCGGGTAGACACAGTACCTTAAAGCTTGCATTGTCCAGCTCTTTTGTAGTGGGGCATCCGTTAGCTAGCATGGTGTGGAGAGTTGGGAGAGAATTATATAAGAGCTTTCATTAAGGAGTTAGATTGCCCTGGGTTCTAATCCAGACTTTATCATTTACTAGCCGTAGAGCTTGGGCAAGTTACGTAACCTGCCTGAATACCTACCCTTGCAGGTTTGAAGTCTGGGATGTATGCAAAGCCTCCAGTCCATTGTTTGGGATAAGAGAATGTATTCGTTAAATGATGGCTATTCTTCATTTATTTAGCATGTATAATTCCCACTCTGTGTCAGCTATTGTGTAGATCAGAGAAACATTCTTAACTGCCAAAGAGCTTACTGTCTCTTGCAGTTCTCCCTCCAGTTCTTCTGGGTAGGGTCACATTAAATCATCCACTTTCCCCAAATGCTCTACCATTAGGAACTCTACCCACTGCCTTGGCACTTCCCTAGTTGTTCAGAACTTCCCATTTGGATTTAGCTTCCCATTTTCTATTGTGTTCATGCTTTCTAGGGAAGAAAAGGGTTAGGAACAGGTGATTGACTTCCCTGGGTTGCTCAGGGGCGGATGTGGTCCTCCAGACAAGAGGGACACATGTTCCCATCATGGCTATGCCCAGGGTGCCCTAGGGATTACAGCTTTGGAGCAGTCAGAGATTCTATAGCCCATGTCTTTACTAGGGTCTTGTCGCCTGCCTGTTAGCTGGAATGGTCCCTTTAAGACAAAGGACTCTGGATACCCCTTGATCATCTTCTCCCATGGCCTGGGAGGCTTCAGGTAAGAGCTTCTATCCCTTATATTCTTTGCCTGGTGACAGCTGCTAAGTCTTATTCTTGAAAGGCAGAGAAATAGACATTTCCATCTGCCAGCTGTCTTACCTACCATCTGCTTTATTCCATAGCATTGGGTCCACCTCTCTAAGGCCTTTCCCAAGCTCCTGTCACCTGCTGGAACCTTCAGCAGGCTTCACATCCTTTGCTTCTCATGTTCCAGCATTTATATAAATAAACACTTGTAGCTTTCTTCCTATATAACAGTCCAGAAGTATTAGAAGGAGCTTGAGCTTTATAGTCAGAGAGTTATTTATTCAACATATGGAAGGGTAACTCTGCCTGTGGTGCTGACATAGTGGTGAATAAAAGGCTCACTCCCTGCCCTTGTGCAGCTTGCAGCCTCACATGTAAATCTTGGCCATACCACCTGTGCTCTGTGTGAGCTTGGGACAGTTGTAGAACTTGCTGAGCCTGGATTTCATCATCTGTCAAGTGGGGATGGTGCTCCCACAGTGCAGTTTTTGAAGATTCCTTTAGACTGGCACCAATAGGTGTACACACATGCAGTTCTCTTCATTTCTATGTGGAGAAACAAGGGATAGTGACTGTAAGATCTCTTTTACAAGACTTTGGGAGACCTTGGCCTAAGTTTTATAAATCAGTATTCAGTCAGAATTCTTCCCACGAATTCTGATTTCAACACTTCGGTGTACTTTTTTAGCTTCATAACTATAGTACATATGCCCTATTTAAACTTTTGAATGTTCTCTGTGTTTATTCTTCAACGTATAAGTCTAGTTTATGTCCCAGAGTGTTACACATCTTAAAAGCATCTATTGCCTCTCTACCTCCCAAACTATTATGCACACTGTATCCAGGGAGATCTGTTTTAAAACCAAATGCGATCTTGCCATTCCAGCATCTAGAACAGTGCCTGGCAGTTGGGAGGTGCTCAATAACTATTTGTTGAATGAATGAATGTTACTTCCCTACTTAAAACTTTTTAATAGCCCTTTGAACTTAATTCAACTCTTTTTATGGTCTTCCCTGGAGGCAGGTCCAAGACAAGTTTCTAGCCCTGTTTCTTGCAACTTGCTCCACTCCAGCTCCCGAGACAAACTAACCTTTCAGTTCAATAAGTATTACCTCGGGGTTTCATCTGTGCTGTGCTTTGTGGATATTCCCTTTGCCTTGAATACTTGCTCTTCTTTTCTCTTCCTTTTCCTCTGCTTCCTGTTTTGCCTAGCTAATTTCAAATTACCTTTAAGGTCTTAGTTTGGATGTCACTTTCTTAGGGATACCCATCCTGACCCCTACATTATATTAGGTTAAGTTTTCCAGAAATTTGCTTTCATAAGATAATCTGTACTTCTCAGTACTTAACATAATTGTAATAAATTAACTAGTTGTGCGATTATTCTCTAATGTCTGTCTTTCCTACTAGATTGTAAGCTCCATGAAGGCAGAGACCACGTCTGTCTTCTCTCTCTCTCAGTGCTTAGGATGGTACCTGCAAAGTGGTTATTTGCCAATAAATATTTATTGAATGAATACAAGGGCTATGTTTTGCTAGGTTTTTATTCATTCAGAAAATATCTGTTGAGTACCTGCTCTGTGCCAGCCCCTTGGTATGAGAGGAAGGTGGGACATACAGAGATAAACAAAACAAGGAATTTGCATCCACTAGAGAAGCCTGAATGTGGACTCACGTATAGCCCACAGCAGGAAGTGCTGAGTTGATGTGGAGATGAGGCTAGCAAGGCGAGTTTGAACTAGAGAGAGATCAGAAATTTCTCTGGCTTTTAAGTCAAGTTCATTGCCTCCTCGGGAGAAGTGGGAGAAGATGAAAGGAAACAAGAAAATGACCTTCCTGAATCAATTTGGATTCAGGGATGTTGTATTTAACAGAAAAATGCCAAATAATAGTGACCTAAACAACATAAAGTTTATTTCTTTCTCAGATAAAAGAAAGCTAGAGGTAGACAGAGCTGATGTGGTAATTCTACAAAGTTATCAGAGGAGCAGACTTCTTTTATAATCTTGCTCTGCCATGGGTAGCTTCCATTTCTAAGGTCATATCTCTTGACCCAGGGTGGCTGCTTTAGCTCTAGCCATTGCATCCACATTCCAGGAAGGAAGCACTTTCCTTTTTAAAGAGATTTTCTGAAAGTTCTGTATTAACACAACTGTTTGCATTTCATTGAGGAGCACTACTCTGTCCATTATAGTAGCTTTTAGCCACCTGTGACTATTGAACATTTGAAATATGGCTGGTCCAAACTGAGATGTGCTGTAAGTATAAAATACACACTGGATTTCAAAGACTTCATACTTTAAAAAAAAAGTAATAAAATATTACATTAATTAAAATTTTTACTATATGTTGAAATGATCATGATTTGGCTACATTGGGTTTAATATATTATTAAAGTTAATTCCACCCTTTCTTTTTACTTTTAAAAATATATTTACTAGAAAATTTTAAATTATTTATGAGGGTAGCATTATATTTTTATTGCTGGGTTAGAAAAATCACACAGACAAACCTGGCTGCAGGGGAGGCTGGGAAATGTCATCTTTTGATGGCATGATAGGATTCAGCTGAAAATCAGATTTTGTTATTAAGGAAGAAGGGAAAAGGGTGTTTGGAGTAGGCAGTTAGCAGTGTCTGCCATATTTCTATTTTTTTTTTTTTTTTCTGGGAAGTTGGAGAACAGACAAAAAAAATCCACATGCTAAATCACAGATGCATATTTGCATTTTAGAGAAATAGCCGGAGTTCCTATCCTTGAGGTACTTATAACTACTTTGGGAAACATACAATATATAGACAATAGAAATGCAGTTGTTGAAGTAGCCAAACTGTATTGGGGGGTGGGTTGTGGAGATGAGTCGATATTTGTATGGGATTGGAGAACATCATGGATTGATTTGCCCATGCATCCTAGAGGAGAACACTTGGAGTCTTGGTGAGAGCTGGGGTATTCTAGCTGGAGAAAGCACCTTCTACAAATGAAACTTTCGCCGTTCAATCTTTTGAGATGGCCACTAGCAGAGCATGGTTGGAATGGGGGCTAAGGGTGGGCCATTCTTCTGATCATTTTTCTCTGTTCTTCCTTGAATCTCTAGGACGGCATATTCAGCCTTCTGCGTGGAGCTGGCCTCCCATGGCTTTGTGGTGGCAGTTATAGAGCACAGGTGAGAGATGACAGTCATAATTAACTGCTTATGGATTGGGTGTTTGCCTTAGGCGAGGATATAGGCTAGTCCTCTATCGATACATTATTTCTAATCCTCACCACAACTACATAAGGCAAATATTATACTACCCATTTTAAAGGTGAGAAAACCAAGATTCAAAGATGTTAAGTAACTAGCTGAATTGGGGTTCAAACCCAGGTTAGTCTCCGAAATCTATGTTTTTTTACTTTCCTATGCATGGCCCCAGATCGTTTTCCCCATCAGCTGAGGGAGATCCAGAGTGTCTTGGCTGAAAAGGATGATTTGGTAAAGGGCAGAAATTACCTCAAGTGTCTTCTGGTTTCTCTCTGGTGGAATGTGTATTTCAGAGATGGGTCAGCTGCGAGCACCTATTTCTACAAGCAGGCCCCAGAGGAGAACCAGCCCACTAATGAGCCACTGGAGGAGGAATGGATCCCCTACCGTCAACTTGAGGAAGGGGAGCAGGAATTCCATGTTCGTAATTCCCAGGTAGGCTTGTGCTATTTGAAGAGAGGTTGTTACTAAGCCTTTCCCCCCTATACTACAGTCATTAAGGAGGTTTTTATCTAACATTCTCTCTTGAAATCTCAGTGAGTATGAGCTTGCCACATCTGTAGGGAGAAATAGGGTATTAATCAAAAATCTTATAATTGCAAGCGGCAGAAACCCAACTTAAGCTTGTTAGGCCAAAAGAATTGATAGGCTTATATAAGCAGACTGGAGGAAGGGCAGGGCCACTGGAATCAACTCAGATGTTGCCAGGACTTGTTTTTCACTCTCACCTGTTTCTTCTGCTGGTTGGTCTCATCAGCAAACTGGCTTAATGAGGTTAGAACCACAGCTCTTGACAACTCTAAGGTTACATATATTTGACATTACCATCTGAAAGAATAGAACTGTTTTGGGGTTGCTCCCCTAGGCCCCCACCCCTGCCCCAAGCTATAATATGACAAATCCTGGAGAGAGACTCCTAGGGAAAAGGTACCAAAATGGGAAGTTCCCATTAGAAATACATTGTTAGATTTTTTTTTTTTTTTGCAGGGTGGAGGGTAACCCTCAAAGGCAGGATTAACAGGAGAAGTGGGGCGGGTAAGTGCTAGGCAGACAAAAACAGTAGATATGTGCTATGAAAGGGCAAGTAGAATCCAGTACTGGATTGATACTAAGAGCACCCTTATTTCCTTTTGTTTTCAAAACGCTTTCATATATGTTGTCTTGTTCGGGCCTCTTGACAATCCCATGGGTAGGTAAGTAGTGAATAGCAGGGCTGACTCTATTGTACCGTTCGTTAGGTGATGGTTATGTGAGCTGCTGAGAGGGAGCTGAGCCTTTCTTAGCATGTGAGGTCCACAGTTTTCGCTGAGATGTGGGTGAGCAAACTACCCCTGCATTCTTCTTTGGCTCTGTAGGGAAGCGAGATTCTCGCTGCATGTTTGTGCAATATTCCAGCTCCCACGGAGACTGTCTCTGTTCCAGGTACATCAGCGGGCAAATGAGTGCACACGGGTATTGAGGATCCTGCAAGAGATCACGGCTGGGAAGACCGTCCCCAACATCTTGCCTGGTGGGTTGGATCTGATGACTTTGAAGGTATGACAACAACTGGTATGACCATGTATTCTGGAGCTCATGTATTCATTAGGACTTTCTTGGTTACACATAACAGGAACCTACCTAACTCACTAGCTTACACCAAAAGAGAATTTATTGGCTCAAGTAATTAGGACGACCAAAGGCAGACCGGCTTTAAGCTAATGTAGTTAGACCCAGTAGCTTAAACATTGTTATCAAAGCTCTGGCACTCCTCTTCCTTCTTGCCCATTTCCATTCTATAGATATGGACTTCATTCTCACCAGAACCTCTTCATTAGGCATGAAAAGTATTAGCTGGCAGCCCAAGCCTACATTTTAGCCCTACTCTAGATTTGAAAGAGAGACTCAGCTTCCACTAATCTGGGAAAGGGGTGGTCCTGCTTGGGTCACATGCCCCTTCTGGACCAATCACTGTGCCAGAGGGGCAGGGTAGTCTGATTGGCTTGCTTAGATTACACACCCACTTCTGGGTCAGGGGAACCTAACATCCCCATAGGGCTACATGGGTGAGGGAGAGATGGTCTTTTTCCCAAAGGAAGGGCTATTGAGCAGCAAAAAAACCTGTGTTCCTTGTAGGCTCATTCCTTCCTTCAAGGGAACTCCAAGAACACCCAGGAAGATAGAAACTGCCCTGGCAGTTTGGTGCCTGTTAGGTACATTTTCCTTCCCCACCCAGTCTTTCTCCCCTTCATTTTAAAAGGAGCTCAGACTCTATTTGGAGAATTAGGAAATCACACAAAAGCATGAAGAAAAAGGAAAAAAATTTCAACATTTTGATGTTTATCCTTACAGTTTTTAAAAAATGTATAACATATGCATGTATTTTTTAAAAACAATAATGTTATTTAATACAAGCTATTTTTTGGCCTTTTTCTTCATTTAGCAAATATATATAAAATAACAATTATTGCTTTAAGAGTACTTACGACGTCAAAGCTCCTCACACAAATGTATGCAGTAAGCATTATCTTTACATAGAATGAAACCAAAGATCAAAGAGGCTAAGTACCTACCCAAGGTTACGCAGCTAAGGAAGTGGTAGAGTTAAAATATAAATTGGAGCTTTTCGATCCCAAAGCCTATGCTGTGTACTCCAGAGCCTCTTTAGAAAATATCTTTCAAAGGCTCCGTAAAGTCATCCAGGGAGAAGCATCTGCCTAGATGGCCAGTAGATAAGGCAGAACTAGAAATCTAGAGTGCTTTACCAGCTATTTGGAGTGTGTCTGTCAATCAGATAAGGAGGGTCCCCAGGCACTGAAGTAGGCCTGCAGGCCTGTGAGCCTGAGACAGGCACTGGGGCATGGCAGGCTACAGTGCAGTTGCATTAGTTAAGAGGTGAGAGTACAGATTGCCCCATGCAGGGCAGTTTGGCAATAGCCATTCACAATACAAATGCACACATTTCTTGACCCAACAGTTTCCAGTTCTGGGAATTTATTCTACACATACCTGCGCACATACAACATGATGTACATATGAGGTAATCATTCTAGTGTTGTTTGTAATAGCAAACGATTGATAATACCCTAACTGTTCACCAGTAAAGGAACTAGTTTAATAGATTATGAAACAGTGGATGTATTCGTTTGGGTAACGTTAACTGCTGTAACACATAAGCCCCAAATCTCAGTGGCTTAACACGATAGAAATTTATGTCTCTCCCATATAAAATCCCAAATGGGTACTCCTGTGCAAGAGTTGACTCAGATCCAGGCTCTTTTTATATTCTAGCTCTACCCTCTCCCACTTGTGAAACCCAGCTTCACTATGTACATTAAGCCAGGAATGGGAAAGGGCATGGAGGTTTGTACAAAAGTTTGTATGGACCAAGCCTGGAAGTGGAGATTTTACTTTCACTCACATTCTGTTAGGTAGAACTCAGTCATAAGGCCACATCTAACTGCTGGGAAATGGTCTAGCTTGTGTCCAGGAAGAAGAGAAACAGATTTGATCACTAGCTGTCTGTATTATTGGTGAAATCAAATGTAACTGTAAAAAAGGAAGCACTTTATGTACTAGTATGCAAAAAGTAAGAAACAATATCACTTGTGTAAAAAAGGGGCAAGTATATATTCATGTTTACCTGCGTATGCATAAGTAGGTTCTGCGAAGACACATAAGAAACTTACCTGTTTAGAGGCAGGGAGTGGGCAACTATGTGAAAGGGGAATGTGGCAGGTGGGAGACTTCTCTATATATTCCTGATTTTAGAGTTAATGAGTATATCAACATAAAAAATACCTGAAGAGGCTACCGACCAAGTTGCTGATCCTGAGGCACTGAGCAAAGGGGGAGGATTTAGATACAAAGCCTTGCGATAGAAATTAGGGAGAGCAAGGGTTCAGGGCAGAGGCCAGGCAGAAAAACCTAGAGAGTTTTCCCAAGTCCCTCATTGGCAGCTGCAGTAACTTTTTATATAACTGTAGCCTGAAGGCTTCTAGGGACAACCAGAAATAGATATGCTGAGAGCATGTTAAAGCGAGCACACTCATTCTCTGCTGGATAAAAGGACAGAGATCCAGAGGAAGTGGAACCTGAGTTGGTTTTTGTATGAGCAGACCTTGCTTCAGAGCAGTGGACAGGCAGCAGGAACTGCCCCATTCTCTCCTGGACTTGGTGCATGTGTCATCCCGTTGTAGTGGTTTTAAGACAAGGATCTTAAGGATGGACTGTTCTCACTTTTAATGTACTCTTAGACTGATTTTTGAATGTCTACTCCAATCCAGATATTGTAAGTGGTAAGATTACAAAAATAAAGATGAAAAACATGGTTTTCAGAATGCCTGCTTACAGAAAGCTGTTCAGTCCAGGGATTGCCTGACAGGCCACTTGCCAGTGGTCAGTAGTGTGGTGTGGGGGGCTCACGCACTGAATTGTGGTTCTGCATCATTGTCTCCCCATTTCTTCTTCTTGCCCCTGAAGAATTCCTAAAATAAGCACCCCTGCGTTTCTGCCTTGGCTAAGTTCTCCGCTTCCCTCAGGGCAGCATCAACATGAACTGCGTGGCTGTGATAGGACATTCATTTGGAGGGGCGACAGCTATTCTGGCTTTGGCCAAGGAGACTCAATTTCGGTGAGTTTCTCAGTAGTGCTGCTGTTAGCTTCACACACCATTCATTCATCCACCAAGTATTTGTTACACAAGTATTATGTTCTAGGCACTGTTGTGGGGGCTGGAGATTCAGTGGTGAACAATAAAACAAGGTCTCTGATTTCATGGAATTATGTTATTGTGGAGGAAACAGACTAGTAAACAAACTAACAGATAACCAAATCCCAGCACTCAAGTGCAATGAAGAAAATAAAATAGGCCAATATGCTAGAGTATCCGGAGGCTCTTTGAGAAGGTGACATAAGCCAAGGCTCAAAGGCAAAGAAGCCAACCATATAAAAGTGTAAGGGAACACAATTTACAATAGCCAAGATATGGAAGCCACCTAAATGCCCATCAACAGATGATTGGATAAAGAAGTTATGGCTCATAGATACAATGGAATATTACTCAGCCATCAAAACAATGAAATCCTACCATTGCAACAACAGGGAGGGACCTAGAGGTTATTATGCTGAGCAAAACAAGTCAGACAGAGAAAGATAAATACCATATGATTTCACTTATGTGCAGAATCTAAGGAACAAAAAGAACAAATTAATCAAAAACACACACACAAATATAGTGGACAATTTGGTGATGGACCGGGGTGGGGGTTAGAGTCTGGGAGAATGGGGTGAAGGGTTAAAGAAGTAAAAATTAGTAGTTGGTAGATGGTCATGGGAATGGGGAGCACGGCATAGGGAATGCAGTCAGCATTAATATATTGACTAGGTAGAAAACCAGAGGAGAGAAGGAGCAATTAGGGGGACTATTTTACAAGCTATATTAATGTCTAACCAATGTACTGTATACTTGAAACTAATTTTTCAAAAAGTATAGGGCAAGATCATTCTAGGCAGAGAGAACAGCTAATGCAAAAGCCCTGAGGTTGAAAGAAGCTTGCTGGGTCAGTGTGGGAGTAGCATAGTGAGTGAGGAGGAAGAGATTCAAGATATGATCAAAGAGATAAACATGAGCCAGGTCACAGGGCCTTTTGACCAGAATAAAGAAGTTAGATTTTATTCTAAGTATGGTGGGAAGCTAATGAAGGATTTTAAGCAGAGAAAAAAAAATCTTATTTACATTTAAAAAGATCCCTCTGGCTACTGTATGAAGAGTGGATAGTAGCAGGACAAGACTGAAAACAAGGAGGCTAGTTAGAGGCAGGCTACTTCATAGTCAGGGTTAGAGATGAGGGATTCGTATTAGAATGGAGGTAGTGAGATGGAGAAGTGAATGGAGTCAGGATATGTTTTAGAATTTTCAGGATTACATGATGTATGAAGTGAAAGAAAGAGGAATCAAAGTTTTTCATTTGTGTATCATCATTCGAGTGGAAGATGATTGTTCTTTACTGAGATGGGTAAGACTAGAGGAGCATTTGGGGCAGAGGAAGGCATATTTTAGGGCCCTAGTTTTGCTCTTGTCAAGATTACTGCTTGACAAACTGGCCAGGGCTTTTTCTGACCTCTGCCATGTAGGCTTTGAGCTCACATAGCAACTTGTGTAGTCAGGGGTCTAAGCTATAGTTTGTTACCTTGTCTGTACTATTTCCCCGTCTAGACTGGGAGTTCCTCGAGAGCAAGAACTATCATTTATTTCTGTATCCACAGCACAGGGCTAAGTTCAATACTTAATGAATGTTGAAAGAATGAATGATTAAATGAATGAAATGCCATTCTGTGTAATCAAAGTCAGCTGCCTGAGAGTAGATCCAAGAAAAGAAGGTCTGATCCTTGCCCTCAGTGAGTTTAAAATCTAGAAGGATCTTTGGCGATAGGTAAAAGTGATCTCTATCCGGATCTTAACCGAAGGGCGTGGGCCTTGGTACCCCTTTCTGGGCTTTTTGAGCCTTCACTCCAGTGGAGGTGAGAACTATGCCTCCATTACCATAATTGCTCTTGCTTGGGTTTCTTATGGTAGTTGCAGATGTCTGGTCCTGTTCCAGGTGTGCTGTGGCTCTGGATGCTTGGATGTTTCCTCTGGAATGTGACTTTTACCCAAATGCCCGAGGCCCTATATTCTTCATCAATGCTGAGAAGTTCCAGAAAACAGAGAGTGTTAACTTGATGAAGAAGATATGTCTCCATCATGAACAGTCCAGGATCATAACTGTCCTGTGAGTAAACTCCAAGGTCAGGAGCACCAGTGTCCTCTCTATTTTTTACACAGCCATGGCTCCCTTAATTACTTTTGGATTATCCAGAAGTTCTACTTATTAATAGAATACCTGAATGCATCCTGAATTTCAAAATCTTAATTTCTTTAGAATTTCGTATCTATCTTCCAGTTAGCTCCATCTATAGTGATTTCTTTGGTAGTTTATATGACTTTGTGACAGGATTTATCTATTGCTTTCTGGGAAAAGGGTATTATGGGATTGTATGTCGGAGAGGAAGAGCCGTGGGTCTGGATGGACTCTAGAGATCTCTCACTTCATTTAGGAATTTTATTGGGTCTTTTGAAGAGTGTGGGTATGTTGGACTTTTGACAGTCACAAGATAAGTTGTTAGAGACCTTCATGAATACCTAAATTCAGATATCTTCCATAAACCTTCTATATTCTGGCTAAGAGAACCCACATTCTCTTCCATCACCAGCACTATCAGATAGTTTTTATTTCAGAAGCCATTTTTCACAGAAATTTAAAAAAAAAATTTTCCCCCCTCTTTAATTCAGCCCCGCCTCCAACCCCCACACACATACTTCTACCCCTGACCTATGGCTGTTGCCATTTCCCCTTAAGAAGGGGATCTCTGAAGGTGGGACGTCTCCTACAGGCTTGTGGCGTGGGCCTGGGGCCTGGCTCACCCGGGGCCTGGCACATCCGAGGTATGGTCTGTGGCTCCACCTGGGGTGTGAACCCAGGACCTGCATATAAAGTAGACGTGCTAACCACTACACTGTGGAGCCACCCTCACAGCAAATTTTTGAGTGACTTTAAGAAATATACTGTACATGGGAAGTGGCCTAGAGCTCCAGTGCAGGGCTGAAGGCTCCCTGACGTGTCCTGTGCTTGAGCTTAACAGCACACGTGCTTCAAGGGTCCCAGGTCTTATTTCAGCAAAACAACCAGTAACTGCATGCCACAGACCTTTGGAATCAGGCAGGCAATTGAAATGTCAAATCCACAGCCCTGGAAGGTCCACTCAGTATCAGCAGCTTCTTCACTTCCTCATCTTGGCCCCTGCTCTCTTCCTTGGGGCTGGGCCCTCCCATTTCACTTTGATTTCATGGCAACAGAAGACTGCTTGAAAATTTCCCCAAGCCAGTCAGATTCAGGATAATTGTGACCCCCGGAGGGAAGGGATAGGAGAGCAGTTGGGAGAGGTTACACAGAGGGATTTAACTATTGGTAAGGACTAATGTATTAGTCCTTAAACTGAGTGCTGGACACTCAAGTATCCATTATATTATTCTTTATACTTTTTCATGTGCCTTAGAAATATATATTTTATTTTATTTTAATAATATATATTTTAGAGGCAGCTTTTCTGCATGCTTTCAAACAAAATTTAGTGTGTAGACTTCCCTTCCCTCATTGAATTGACTAGTAAATTTAGTTATAAGTAATTTAGCCCAAGGTTAACCTACCGAGAATCTCGCCTCTGAATTAAATATAGTTGATGTCAGAGGACTTAAATTCTAGTCCAGAAACCCTCTTTTACAAGTCCTTGCCCTCATTTTTCTGATTACTTAAATGCAATTCCTTTTTCCTGTTTACTTTATGGCACCGTTCTGAAGAAAGGAACTGATATATTTTGTGAATATTTAGAAGTCGCTAGGCAAAAGCCATGGTGTAACAGTTTATAATAACAGGAATGGGAGGTGCTGCAGACCTTGCAGTCTTGCCGCTGTCCCCACTCCAGCTAACTCAGCCATTCCCTGCACTGTCAGGCATCATGGTCTAGGAGTTGAGGCAGCTTTGAGGCCAGGCACACCTGTATTCACATCCTAATTCCCTCCCTGACTAGATGTGTGACCTTGGGCAGATCATTTCTCTCCTCTGATTCTGTCAAAGGGAAAATACTTCCCTTTCAAGACTGTTGTGAAAATTGAGATAATGCACGTAAAGTACCTTGCAGGTTATAGACGCTTAACAAATAAATATTTGTATGCCCTAGCCTCCAGACTTCTACCAGCTGTTTGTTTTTCTTTTCTTCTAGTGGTTCTGTTCATTGGAGTCAAACTGACTTAGCTTTTCTGACTGGTCACTGTATCAGCAAATTTTTCTCCTTTGAAATCCGTGGGAGCTTGGATCCCTATGAAGGTCAGGAGATTGTGGTGCGGGCCATGTTGGCCTTCCTGCAGAAGCACCTTGGTAAGGAGAGAACTGGGGCTTGTGGGGCAGCTGTGGGATGCCTTAGATTTCCCTGCACAGTGGTCTGTACTGACATGTCTGAGATCAGGGAGATTTATGGTAAAAGGAAAACCTGAGTGAAGGAGAAAGTTGCATAGAATTATGGAAAGAACACTTACCTGGAAGTTTGGAGATCCTGATTCTGTCTCTTACTACCCGAATGACCTTGGTCGGCCTTGTCATTTAACTTTTCTGAGCCTTGGTTTCCTTGCTGTAAATGGAACATTCATCTCTCTATTCCACTGTTTCTGTCCTAACTCAGTATCCCTCACCTTATCTATATTGTGGAGGAGGTTATTGATGATAAATGGGCTAAATTTGTAGAAGTGATTTAAAAAAAACCCTGGAAGGATTATGACTAATGTCATAAACCACAGTCCTGCTAAATGGCAAGGCCTCTAGAGCAGCGGTTTTCAACATTTTTGGCACCAGGGACAGTGTTCCTACGAGAATCTAATGCCCGATGAACTGAGGTGGAGCTAGCATTGGGGAGCAGCTGCAAATACAGATGAAACTTTGCTTACTTTCCCTTGGCTCATCTCCTGCTCTGCGGCCTGTTCCTAATAGGCCATGGACCAGTACTGGTCTGTAGCCTGGGAGTTGGGGACCCCTGCTCTAAAGATCTTTGGTCCAGCCTCCTACCCATAGGAGATATCCTCTTATATCTTCCCTGCCACACGGTCAAGCAGTGTAGAGAGCCCCTGCCACTCTTAATGGTTTTAAGAGTTGATAATCTAATTAGGCTTTTTTGATTACAAGGACTAGAAGCCTTCACAAACAAACCTCAAGAAAAAAGTGGGGTTTGTTTATGAAAGTACATCTTGCCAGGGTGAAAGAGAAAAGACATACGAGCCAACGTGGCTCCCGGGGCCGACTTCTCTGTCTCTGTCATGGGCTTCGTGTCTCTGTCTCTTCCTCTTACGACATCTGTTTCTCTTTGCATTTTTCTTCTTTCTACTCTGTATTTTTCCTCTTGCCGATAGCATCTGCTTATTCATAGGTTTTGCTCCCTCATAGCTTCGGGCAGCATGAAGCATTCTGGGTTTGTTCTCTCCGCCTTGTGGCATGCTTTCATCTTCAGCTCCCACTGTTCACTGCCATATTTTCTTAGATTTCTTAGATCAGATTCCCAAGACAAACTTAATTTTTTCAGCTCGTCTTTACCTGCCAAAGCACGTTATAGGCCACTGCCCAACCTAGGCCTGGAGCTCTCTTGATCAGATATCCCTTTCTGATCTAATGAGAATGGAATAGGCTACAATTATCTGCACAAGGCTGATCCCTCATCAGGTGCTGTGCGTAGGGCAATTTCCTTCACAAGAGAGCCAGGCTGGCCTGGATTTCTAAGGTTTTACCTAACTCTAACCTAAGACCGAGATCTGATACTCCTCCCTACTTGCCCTGGTTATCCCCGCAGAGGCCTCAGACCCCTTGCACATGGCTGCTCTTCAGATATTTGAAGTAACCTATGGTGTACTCTCTGAATTTTCTGTTCATTAAGCTAAATGTCCATGGTACTTCCACCTATTCCCCCAAGTTCCCCATGTTGCCATTTATTATCACCTTTGGATGCACTGCTTGTCGGGGTGCCTTTTCACGTGTGGTACCCTGACTTGAACACGATGTGCTGGGTATGGTCTGACCAGTGGCTGGTACAGCAGGACTGTGGCCTCTGTGCTGTGGACGTCAGACTTCTGGTTGGATGACCTGAGTGTGTTAACATTTCCAGCAAGTGCCCAACAAATTTGGTTTGGATTAAGTTTGCTTTTAGAATATATCTGTCCTGTTATGAATGTATTGACTTTTTTTAACCTAAATTTGCATTTTTATATTTATGTCTGTTCATTTCATCTTACATGAGCCATTCTACCAGCCCAGCTTTAGAGACTTTAAGGTTAATAGAGACTGGATCCATGTCTCAGGACTTTAAAGGGGCCTGACTACATGATCCTTAGCCCACTTTCCCTATTTCCTCCTAGGCACTGTGTCATTAAGTTAGAGCTGAAGATGACGGGAGCCCATCATGGCATAATCGGGCTCCCTACTAGCAGTGTCTGTCGAGCTAAGATATTCATTACTGGAGACCTGCAGGAGAAGATTGAAGGCAGGAGAGTTTTAGACTATAGGAAGTTTGAAGACTTGCTTTATGCCAGGCCTTCTGCCAAGTACTTTAGATGCATTATCATGTCTAATCCTGAAGATGGCCTTTTCCAGTAGGTACTTTTATTATTATTAACTCCATTTTACAAATGATGATACTGAAGCTTAGAACATTTAACTCATTTGTTCATGGTTATCTGGTCATTAAGTGGCAAAGCCAGAATACAACCCAGGCCGTCTGATTCTAAAACCCACATGCTTAATTGCTCTACTCTTCTGCCAGTGACTGATGACCAAGGGATGTATTCAGTCTTTGGGAGACAGAGGACAGGCATCTAACTCTGAAAGGAGGGAGAGGACAGCCTGGAAAGCAGGCTCCCTAGACATAGCGATGCTTGTTTTTAATCTTAACAGATGAGTAGGGTTCACCAGTCAGGGAAGGGGCAAGAATCTTCTAGACAGAAGGCACAAATGTTTGTGTGGGCCTAGTGTATCTGGAGCTTAGCATAGTGAATTGTTGGAAGATAACGATAGAGAAATGGGCAGAAGCCAGATCTAGAAATCCATGTGTTTGCCAAAATAATTGAATTTTATTCCACAGTCTGTGAGAGTCCTTAGTAGGTTTTAAGCAACAGAATGTCATTATTAGATCTGTATTTGCAGTCTGGCTACATGGAGGATGGGCAAGTTGAGAGGCAGAGAGCCCAGGTGGGAGGCTCTCGCAATATCCAGGAGATGAGAGATTAGACAGAGTCTGAAAAAAGGCAAAGGCTCTCTGCTTGGGTTAATTAGCTTTTCAAAGAGAGAAAAAATTTTGGGTGGCCACACAGTATGTTGTAATATGGAAAACTAGAATGGGTTTTAGGTAGCTCAGTTGAACCTCTCACCACTCCTAAAAAATACTCTGAGAGCACATATTCTGCCAACACAGGGATGTTATCTTCCATTGAGAAAATTGGTGCTTCTTTCATATTAACCACGTGCAGCTCCTGTCTCCACCTATTCATCCTCTCTTCCACTCCCCTGGAAGACTATTTCACACATTTTTCAAACTTATAACATCTCCTCCCTATCCCATCTCTCCGCTGATTAATTTTGCCTCCCACTTCACCAAGAAAAGAGAAGCAACCAGCACTTCCTCTGAATCCCAACATGCCACCTACCCACCTTCATGCATATAGTCAGCCCTCTGTCTGGTTCCTAGAGTTTCCCACTGTTTTTCTAAGGAAGACCAGCCCCTCCACCTACACAGTAGATTTCATCCTTTTTGGTCTACTCGAGACGGTTGTGCCAGAGTTCTTCTCTCTTTATCTTATATCATCAATTTTTCCCTCTCTACTGGTTCATTTCATGCTGAAATTTCTCTTAAAAATTATCTCTCTTGACCTCATCAGTTACCAGCCCATTTCCTTGTTCCTCATAACAGCAGATCTCTTGAAAGAATATCTATCTTTACTTTCTCTGATTCTTATCTTCCCATTCTGTCTTAAAATCACTCTACTTAAGTTTTTGCATCAATTCTCCATGAAAACTGCTTTTGTCCAGGTTGCCAGTGATCTCCCTTCACAGTGCCGAATCCAGTGGTCAGTTCTCATTCTTCATCTCACGTGAACTCTCAGCTTCTGACAGAGTTGAGACCCTGTAAAGACAGTGTTCCAGAACACCACACTCTGGATTTTCTCCTAGCTCAGTATCTGCTCCCCCTCAGTCTACTTTGCTGCTTCCAGAGTTCGGTTTTTGGACCTCTTCTATATCTGTATGCCCTAAGGTCATCTAGTCTCATGGCTTTAGATGCCATCTCCATGCTGACAACTCCCCAGTTTACATCTCTCGTTTGATCTCTCCCACACACATGAGATTGATATAACACACTACTCGACATCTAATAAAATCACAAATGAAAACTAATTTCAGCTGTAGTCTTTCCCTTCTCAACTAACAGTATCTCCATCCTCCTAGTTACTCAAGCCGAAGTCCTCATTCGCATCTCTTCTCTTACACCTCTCATCCAGTCCCTCAGGAAATTTTATTGGCTCTTTGCACTGTTGTTCTCACTGCCTGGAACATTCTTCCTATGCAGTCTTATGGCCCACTCCCACATCCTTCAAGTTGTTGCTCAAATCTCACCTTCCCAATGAGGCCCACCTGACCAGCCTTTTAAAACACTGTACCTTCCCTAGCTCCCCTCATCCGCATTCCCCCAGCCACCACCACTGCTTCTTTAATCTGGCCCTGTTTTTCTCCCATCACACTTATCACCTTTTCACATTCTATATAATTTATTACGTTTGTTGTTATCTCTTCCTACTGGATTGTGAGCTCTATGAGAATGAGGATTTCTATTTGTTTGTGGATATGTTTTTAAAACCGAGAGCAGACTGGGACACACTGTGGGTGTGCTCAGTATTTTTCGAATTAATGAATATGTAGCACTTTTTTGTCAAGGACCTATTCCATGCCAGGTTCTTGGCAGGGCACTGGGATCCAAAGATGAAGGAGAGTGGTCCCTACCTTCTATCCCAGTTTTTGTTTGTTTTGAACAAGGACACCATTTGCCTGCTCAGCTGTACCCTACTCCCTCAGTCTAAGGCCTTTCTGCCTATTCTTACCATGTAGTCAGACCCATCTGCCCATGATCCCAAAACCCTCTCTTGAATCATACCCAATTTTATGCTGCCTCATGATGTTGCCACCCTACTCCTTCTGCCCTTCGCTGAGGTGGCCCTGGATTTGCATCCACTGGCTGGCATGAGAAGCTTGCTCAGCAGTACCCCTGAGCCTGGAAGTAGGCTTTCCATTTTCTCACCCTGTCTGACTGAGGTTTGAATTCTATCTCTGCTGCCTACTAGCTGTAATGACCTTGGGCAAATCAGATAGTTTCTTTGAGCCTCGGTTTCCTTAGCTGTAAAATAGGGCTAATAACAGTACTTAGGGGTATTATGAAAATTAAATGAAATGATGCATGTTTAACACAGTCCTTAGGATGAATTATCATACAATAAATGTCATTTTTTGTTATTAGTAGTAGTATCACGTTCTTGTTGATGAAGCCAGTCATTTCGGTAGCACATTTATAGAGACATTGAATGAACAGTAGTTATCATTACTGCTGCCACCATCACAACCACTACGACCAGCCCTTTTGGTATCCCAGGTGTTCCTCTCTCTAGGATGTCTCACTAAGTCCGTGGTAGGTACTCTGTGATCTAAGCTTTCCACAATTTACCTAACCTTCCTATTTTTTCAGACCTGAAAGAGGACTATGACCAATGGAACAACCTCATCGAAGGCATTGGACCGTCGCTCATCCCAGGAGCCCCTCCCCATCTGTCCAGCCTTTAGGCACAACTGGCCATTCATAAAAGGTCGTTGAGCTAAGTTCCCTTTGGGGGCCTGCTTAGGGACACCCATAGCTTCCTATCAGGAAGTGGTTGGCTTGGCCCTTCACAGATCAAAAGGATGTAATCACACTGCCACACTGCTGGTAACTGGGTACTTTGATCTTGGACTTGTTGATCTTACTTGGATCACTTACTGATCGGCACACTGACTTTCTGGGACCTGAGCCCTGATGGTGTGGAGAACAGCGGTGGAGTGGAACTAGGAGGCACCGAAGCCCCAAGCTGAGCACTGTTAACCCAGTAAGCTGCCCTCACCTTGGGCCAGTGTGGCTTCTTTGGTGGGAGAAATGAAGCCAAAGGCTGGAGTGAAAATTCCTACCTTCAGACCTTTAGCCCAACCTGGCATTCTCTCTTCCTACCTCTCAGCTTCCTCCCCAGAGTCACTTGCTGAGTTCTCAGCACTTTAGGTCACTTACTAGGATAAGGACCACCATCAGATTTTCTGTTTATTTTAAACCTCAATGCGTGGAACATAGTACTGGGCACTTAGGATGAGTTATCCTTATCCCATGGAGTAGGGCAGACAGTATTGTCCTCGTGGCGTATGAAGAGAAGCTTAGGTACAGAGGGGGCCTCAGAAGCTCCGGATATCTTTGAGTTTTGCTAAAAATGTATTTTGACAGGAAACAACACAAGTAAGTTGAGATGGAGAAGGTCGAATAAAAGTGTCATGTAGCCATTTGAACAGGCCCTTGCCACAAGAGGGGACGTAGTCTGGTCAGCTAGAGTGCAAGGGGCCACCCCTGGAGAGGTCTAGGAACACTTTTCTTGCCTCTCATCTCAGATACTCTGAGCCTCCAACTTGCTCAGAACCAGGGTGCTGTAAATTGTCTGTTTTCTGGCTCTGAGGCCCAGCCACAAATTTAAGTCAAGATACAGATTGAATTTTCATTCTGTTCCATATATAATATAAATGGTATTAATAGTCATGTTTGCCTAATGATATGTTGGAATATTCTCTAATCTGCCTAGAGCAAGATGGGGAGCCATCTGGAAGTAACTCTTCCTTCTGTCTTTGTTCGCTTACCACTTGTGCCCATGTGGAAAAAAAACTTTAAAAGGGAAGGAAGTTTTCCTGGGGATCTAGTTCAAAGTTGTCTGGAAACATCAACCTAAAACACCTCTCTTCACTGCTACGGACATCTCACCTCTATCCAAGTAGGGGACTCCAGAGGAGGCGAGAGCAAAAAGGAAATGCATCTCCGCACAACAGGTCCAAGGCCAGTGCCACCAGAGCAAGCTGGGACTGGGTCTCCCACCTCTCAATAGCTGTTCTTTCTAAGAGGTGAAACATGGATTCATGGAGGCTGTGAACCTGGGGAGGATCTATGAATTCCAGTGAGATATAGCCTAAGGAGAATATCATTAAAGCCTTGGGCTCTAGAGTTCTTTAGCCTGGTTCGAGTCCTGGTTTCATCACTATTAACTAGGTAGATTTGAGCAAATTATGTTCTCTTTCCAGTCTCGGTTCCTGCATTTTTAAGATGGGGTTCTGCATTATGAATAATTAGGAGGATTTAAGTGAGACTCTGTGTAACCCATGGGTTATTTAAAAGTCTGTTTCCTATTTTCCAAACATACATTTTTCTAGCTATGCTGTAGCTATTGTTTTCTAGATTAATTGTTTTTGGTCAGAGTAAACGACCCAGATGGTTTTCATCCTGAAACTTGTTTGGCCCAGTGTGAGTCAATGGGGCCTTCCAATCCCTAGCTGGAGACCAGAGCCCCTTGGCACTCACAGAACCAGTAGGTGCCACCCTTTGTGCCTGAGGCTGGTTCTGCAGATGCCAAGGTTCTGGCAGCATTAGCACCTGAGACCCTGTTTCTACCTTAGACCCTTACACGATGCAGGTATATTTTGTAAAGACTAGGGGCCCCCCTAGAAAAGGAAGTTGTTTGGAGCCTGGATCCATTTCTCCTCCATTCAGTTCATATTCTGGTAATGACTCATTCATCCAATAACATTGGAGTAGGTGAATTATCCATATAACTGAAATTGTCCTTTATGTCACAAAACAATATTGACAAGTTTGGTAATTTACCAAAACAATCACACAGACTTCTTGATGTGAACTGACCTTATTTAACTTTTTAGGGTGTTTCAGTCATTCAGGATAGACTAGATTATATAGTAGAAACAAGCAACCCCAGAAAACAGCGAACCTTTATCTCTCGCCCGTGCTACCTGTCCTCTGTGAGTCAGCTGGGAGCTCTGTTCTGTCATGTTTGTTTTCACTTGGGGATCCAGGCTGGCAGAGCTGCCACTCTCTGGATTGCGTTGCCAGTCGCCATGGTAGAGCTGAAAGAGAGCGTGGGGAAACACCTACTAGCTCTTAAAGCTTCTGCTCAGAAGTGATGCTCATTATTTCCATCCACATTTCATTGGCCAAAGCAAGTCATCTGGCCAAACCTAACATTTCACACCATCCCAAGAGAGCAAAAATATCTGCGACCAGGTCCAATGTCAGAACAGTGGCGCCCTCTGGCCTGTGAAGATGTAAGTAGCTATTTGTGACTATACTTCGCTGCCCTCAGCAGCTGTCCTCTTAATCCTTTCGATTGCTTTTCATAGTCCGTGTTGTCCCCTGTGTGGCCAGGCAGCCAGCCATTGCTCTTCATTGCCTTTAGTGTGCCAGCCCCTAGCAGCTCTCCCAGTTCACTTCAAATTTATAACTTCCGATCAGCCACTTAACTTACAAGTGTCTAAAGTAAAACTAGGTAGTCACTGAGAGAGGGCTTTAGGGACTCTCCTGCACCTATAATATCCTGCCTTTAGTGCTTAGATTTTGTAACCATTCCTTTGACTGCTCAGAAGGGATATCAAAGCCTCTTGTTCTTTGTCCTGGTTTTTGGTTAGCTTCCAGGGAATTGAAAGACACTAGATAAATGGCCTTTTAGATAAGCAAGGTAATACTGCATATTAATTGGCATGTGTAGATAAGCTGCATTCTAATGAATCCTTTCCAAAAGCGAAGAAGATGTCTTGGGTTTCTTTTGCATCTTCTTGTTCCCCATCCCATTATAGAACCATACTCATGGAGGCCTCCTAGTATTTGTGAAGTTTCTGTTCAGGTAGCTATTTGTAACTACTCTCATTCCATCCAGTATTTACTCACTTCCCTTCCTAACTGCAAACACCAGTTAGGAAGGGAAGTGAGTAAATACTGGATGGAATGAGATTCCTCATCCCTCACACTGCTGGACACATCAAGCTGAGGCTGGTTAGGTTCTTGCTATCCCCCCAACACAGTCTCCAAGCCCCTTTCAGTGTGTGTCCTGACACGGCTGCCCCCTTGCCCTTCCTCAGGAAGACTACTGGGTTCTTGAAATGTTAGTCGATAGACTCCAACTTCATGCCTTGGCCTTGTGGGGGTATTTGTGTGCTCCCGTTTTCTTCTGGGGTACCACCTATTCCTGGGCCCGCAAAGTGACAGGAACAGGAGAGGCCATCCACTACTCAGGAGCCAGTCCTTATTAGGAAGCTCACTTTCTGTCCCATCACAGCCAGCTGCAATAGCCAAGTGTTTGTTCCTGGCCATAACTGCATGACAAAAATGACGATAATCATCATAATAGCCAACATTTATTAGACTCTTAATGTGTGTCAGAGACTGTTTAGTGCTTTACATGCGTCGTCTCATTTGCTGCTTACAGTAACCCCATGAGGTCCGGTGGTATTAGCTTCATTTTATGTATGAGGAAACAGCCTTGGAGAAGTGATTTGATCAAGCTCTCACAGCAAGAATTTGGCAAAGCTGGGATTTAGGCATCAAAATCCAAGCTCTTAATCACTGGGCCATACTGCCTAATTCACGGAATTGGTTTTGTACTTTTCCGTCTCTAAACTGTCAGAGTATGAGGAGTGTAATTTCATGATAGATTGAGTCAAGAACATCAAATTCTCCAGCAATCTCTATATGACTTGTATTGAGATTCACTGATATCCTAAGCACTACTGAAGTGGGTTGGAGAGAACTGAGCTTCGCTGAGGACTGTGGGTCAGGTGCTCTGTTGATTTGATAGATGAAGAAAGCAGTTCAGGGATTCAGAACACGGTCTTTGAAATCAGATGACTTCATGCTATTGTCGCTGTGGATTTATGCTAATTTATTAACTTCTATGACCTTCAATTTTCTCATTTGTAAACTGGAATTCTAATAGTATTTTCCTCTTAAAGTTGCAATAAATTAAATAATGCATGTAAAAAGCTTAGCACAGTGCCAATACTAAGGGTTTAATAAATATTTACTATTACTAGTATTGTTTTTTTTTTGGTCCTCCTTACATAACTATAAAGTTAAATATAATTTGCCCTTGTCCTGAGTGGCCCAAGATGATCTTGGTCTAAGTTCTTATTCCAGTTTTTCCATTTTCTTTGTTCTGATTTCCCTGCTCCTCACATCAAAAAATCAAAATCCATACCATAGTTCTAACCTTGCAGGCTCTCTTCACCATCAGGAAGAATCTATACTCTTTGGTTCTGGTCTGGGTTTTAATTTCACACCTGATCATCCAAATACACACATATGTGCCCCACATGTAAACCAAACATCCTAAAATGTCGAATAGGAGAATCAGAGGAGAAGACCTGTGGAGGTTGGCCAAAGGGAAGCGGACGTGGAGATCGGAATTTGAAGTAGAGGCTAGTTGGGTTCATTTTTGTCTGCTGCTTTTGAGGCAGGGGGTCAGGGGGTTAAAGTGCCCTATGACCTCAGGAGAAACTCCCCAGGCCTGAGAATGGCCTGTGAATTACCTCTGCATGGCTTTCTCCCTTACTGCCATATCTTTTCCTACCAACACCTTGTCTTCACTCTCGGTGGTTCTCACTCCCAGCCTATCCTCTCCATTTCATGAGTCCAGTCCCTCCATCAGCTCACCCATGAAATCATTTATACAATCTCCTAGACTCTAATCTCTCTTTTCCTCTGCATTCTGCTGCCACATCTGCCTGAAACACCACTTTTGTATCAAAATACCAGCCCGACAAGGTGGTCTAATGAAAAGAGGACCAAACTGATTGTCTGGAGCCCTGGGTTCTTGTCTCAACTCACAGTCTCTCTCGCTCTGTGACCTCATGCGTATACTTCTCCTCTCATGACTTCAGTTTCTCTATCTGAAACTGGGAGTGTGGAGTGGAGGTTGTTGAATTAGCTGATCCCTAAGCCCCTTCAGTTCTGGCATTTCTCACTTCTGTCACTAGCTGTCAAGAACCTGTAGAATTTTTTTCCTGTAGAATTGTATCTTACTCTCTCATTCTGTCTTGTCTTGCCCCACCGCTCCTGTCTTTTGCTTCTTCCTATGCACTCTTATTTTTCCACTGTCCCCTTAATATACCCACCCGTTCTGCACACATGTATGTTCTTTCGCATGATGTTTTCTTGCTTGTAGGGCCTTCTCAACCTCCTTTCTGTATATCCAAATACTGCTGATCCTTTAGTTCCACTTCTATGAAAAGCCTTCTTGATTAAATTCAACTAACATTTGATCTCTTGGTCTCCTGCTCCCCAAGAGAAATATATTCTGTGCCATATTTAGCGTTACAGTTTATTACATTATTCCAGGAGCAGGACCCATCTGTTGGACGGGAAAAGCATCCTCTTGTTGACTGACATGGGGAGCAGGGATCTCTGTCCCCTCTTTCCTCCCACCCCCATCGGCAGGCTTCTTGTTCCCCAGCCGGACTTGGGAACAGCTGGTGTTCGCCCAACCCTCTGATGTCTCCAGCTGCCCCTGCTTTTTTTTCTTTTGGTTTTCTCAGATCCCAGCTGTGGGCCCCAGGGCAGAGCCAGTGACAATGCAGCCAAGGGCAGCTGGAGCAAACCAAGATACATGGACATGTAGCAGTTGAGAGTTAGAAGGAGGGCAGAACTGAGCACAAATCACGCTAGTGTTGAAAACGAGGGGAAGCAGTTTGCCAGCTTATTTTTTCCCATCTTGCTCTCATCTAAAAAAAGAAGCTGCTTAGAAATACAGTCCTCCTTAGCCTGCGAAACCAGATGGTCTCTAGATGCCTGCCAAGTATGCATATAAAATTATTCATCTTCATGGACTCACACCCAGGTCTGAATCTAGACATGCTTTTTTGCCATTCGATCTGGAGGCTGTGAACATTTCTGAGCCTTTGTTTCTTTTTCTGTAAAGTGGGGTCACTAATGTCTGCCTTGCCCCTTCAGTATTGCCGGGAGAAGTTTCAACGTAAGATATAAGAGCACTTTGTAATTTATAAAGCACTGGACAAATATATGTTTTTATTAATAGTAAAAGTGTCATATTTAGTTTTTGCTATGATGTGCTACTACTTAATGAGCACTTATTCTGTGCCAAATACCGTGCTGTTTTACATATATTGTAAATACATTTAATCCTAATGGCATTTCTGTAAGATGGTGCATGTTATCTCCTATTCAACAGATCAGAAAAGCGAGGTTCAGAAAGATTTGCTAGCCCAGCTGCAGTCACCCAGCCTGGAAGTGCTGGAGCCAGGATTTAACCTAAATTGCTGGGTTCCAAAGTCAGCATTCTTAATGCCTGTTCATTCTTCTCTCACACAAAAAAGAACAGTTCTTTATTCTATGTTAGCTAAAATAACCCACAATTTGATCTCCAGTAAATGCCCTAAGCAGTTGGGTCATACAAAGAGGCATTTTTGTTGAAGTCCTAAGTCCTGACAGTGTACCTTGAATTGCTTTTCTGCCAGTAGAGATGGGCTGGCTCTCCATCCATCTATCCATCTCTCCATCTATCCATCCTTCCATCCATCCATCAATCCACCCACCCACCTCACATAAAATCAACAGTTCAGGGAACAAACCCATTAGTACTGTACAAACCATGAAGCCAAACAACTGGCAGAACTATTATTTTTTTAATTTCTAACCCACATATTGTAGGTTAATGATTCTCAGCTCTATGTGCATCAGAATCACTTTGGAACTATATGAAAGTACACATGTCCTGGCCATGTCTCCACAGGTCTAGAGATGCTGATTCAGATGGTATAGGGTGGGGACCAAAGATGTGAGTGAGTGTGTGTGGGTGTGGGTGTGTGTGTGAGTGTGTGTATGTGAGAGAGAGAGAGAGAGAAGCTCCAGGGGTATTTCTGGTATGCAGCCAAGTTTGAGAACCATTGCTATGGTCTAAAACTATTAGTCTATTTTCTTTTATGAAGCAGGAGTAATTGCTAGCTGAAAATACAGAATCATTAAGTTTTAGACTTGGAAGAGTCCTTATATCATTTGGTCCCTGAGGAAACCAGAGCTCAGATAAGGTCAATAAGTAGGTGGCAAACTTGAATTAAAATCTGTATCTTCTGACTTCCAGTCTAGTGCTTTAGATACATCCACGGGTACCAGGGTTTTACCGGATTATTGAGACAATCTTCAGGACCCACTCATCATGGCACTCATGATTTCCAGCAACCACACCTTGGAGTTTTTGTGGAGGGAAGAAGCCTGGCTAGAAGGCCTGTGAGAATCTACTGGGATGGCAGTTCTCATATGTGTTCATTCATTTCACAGCACTCATTGAAGTCTATACTGTGGCTGGCCCCATCCTTAAGGAACTGAATCTGGAGAGCAAGAAAGGCCCCGTCAACAGGTCCCACGTGGTGAGTGCTGTGACAGGGGTTATGGGAGGCTCAGAAGTGGCACGTGGTGATGAGTTCAACTTCAGCAGAACAAAAAGGCTAAAAAGGCTTCATAGAGTATCATATACTTGAGCTTGGTGTTTGTATTAGTAATCTATTGCTGCATAATAATTATCCCCAAATTTAGCAGCTTAGAGCAACACACATTATCTCACACTTCCTGTGGCTCAGGAATTCTAGAGGGGCTCATTTGGGTGGTTCTGGCTTAAAGTCTCATGAGGTTGCAGTCAAGATGTCAGCTGAGATTACTGTCATTTGAAGGCTTGACTAGGACTAGAGGAGCCACGTCCAAACTGACTCACTCACATGGCTGTTGGCAGGAGGCCTCAGTTGCTCAACACTTGGAGTTTTCCATGCTGCTGCTACTCAAGGCATGGCAGCTGGCTTGTCCCAAAGCCAGTGATCCAAGCGAGTAAAATGGAAGCTGCAATGCCTTTTATGCCCCATCTTTGGAAGTCATACTTCATCATTTCCACAATATCATATTATTGTACAGGTCAGGCCTATTCGGTATGGGAGGGCGTGTATACCAGGAGTCGGCACTGGAGAACATCTTGGAGGCTGGCTACCACGGCATTAAAGAAAATGGAATTTTCCAGCCGGACAAGGGAGAAGAAAGGCATTCCAGGCAGAGGAAATAAATAACAGGACAAATAAATAGGGCATAGCATATTCAGGGCATTGTAATGGGTTTGAAGAAAATAGGTGAAAAATAAGGACATAGGAGAGCTTACAGAAGCTATCAGGGAGGGCCGTCTATGCCAAGTGCAGGAATTAGGCCTTTACCATGGAGGCGAGCAGTTTTCAAATGTTTCTGCATATTGAAATCATCTGAGATTTAAAATTTCCCGTGCCAAAGCTACACCTACGTCGATTATATAGGAATTTCTGGGAGCAGATCTGGATATCTATAGTTTTACAGTTTCCCAGGTGCTTTTAACATGCAACCAAGGTTGAGAACCAGTGCTGTAGTAGGCAACACAGAAAGTAACTGAAAATCTTGAGACAGGAGAGTCATGTGATTGGATTTCCAATCTCTTCTCAGTGATGAGGAAGTGCATCTGTATCTTTCTTTACTCGCCTAGGGAAGTAAATATTAGAACTAGAAAGGCCCTATCATCTGTACTCTCCTCCTCGTTCAGGTAATTATGTTTCATCATCTCTACTACCAAAAATTAAGCAGAAATATTTAAACTTTAGCAGCCCCAAGTAAGTTCCCAGCATCCTAAATTACCTATTATTTTTAAACTTCCAACCTTCTTACATCAACATATCCACTCTCGAGGGTTTTATTTCCCCCACTTAACACTGTTTCATACATGGATTTCTCTATTTGTGCAAGGTCCTCACATCTAACTGAGGCAGCAGAGTGTAAAGGTTAGGGCATGGCCTTCAGGGTCAGATGGACCTCTGGATTTGAGTCCTGATGTCATCACTTATTAACTAGTTAGGTAACTTAATTTCTCAAATCCTCAGTTAACTCATCTGAAAAATGGCTGTAACCTACCTCAGAAGCTGCTCAAGGATATAACATGAGATCATGCATGTTAAGAATTCTGCCAAGTACCTGATACACAGTTAGTGTTCAATAAATGTTACTTATTCAGCATTCAAAATGGCATTTTATCATTCTGTTGATCAACACCCCTACCCCCACCACCTGGATCTGCTTAGCAGTTCTCCCCATTGCCAGACTATTCAAGCCACTTCTAATTGTTTTTAGCTCTATTATTATACATTTCTTCATATAAATTGATTGGATGTTTTTAAAAAAGTTATTTCCCTAATTTTTTAGTCGTGGAAACTGAAGATTGGAGAGTTAAAGTACCTGGTCAAACAAAAGTCATATCGCTTGTTAGTGACAGAGCCAAGACTAGGGCCCTGGTCCTAGATACCCTGAGTCTTGACCTCACGTTCTCTCTACCTTGCTGCCCAGCCCCCATACTCACTAGAGACTTGAAACTGGCCCTTCTTGCCTTCTCTTCTCCAGGCTGAATGATTCAGAACTCCCGCTGTGTCCTCTGACATCTCCTCTCCCACCCTTTCATCATCCTAGAAGTCCCTCATCAATCCAGAATAATTGGAGTAGCACCTCTACTGGTCCCTTGGGGAGTGGGAGCAGACGATGATTAATGCTTTGGAGACCTGGACTCATCTCTGGCGCCTCTGGATCTCTGTTGGGTGATGCTGTGTAGTCAGATGGGAATGGGGATCCTGTCTGATTTAGACATACCCCTCCCTCCTACCAGGAATGTGTCTGATTTCATCAAATCCACGGTCCCAGAACAGCAGACCTTAAAGGGACAATAGAGAACATTCTCTAACCTAGCCCTAGTTATTTAAGAAAGAACTGAGGATCAGTGATGCAGGTCGATCAGTGGCCAACCTGGGACTGAGACCCAAACCTCCTGACTCCCGGTGTGGTGTTGGGGAGAGGGCACTAGAGCCAGGCAAGTCTGTGTTTACCAACTGTGTGCACTTGGGCAAGTGAGTTAAAAGATGTTCAATTTTCTCTTCCATAAAAAGGTGATACCCAGTTCACAAGTGTTATAAGGATTAAATGAGATAACTAATATAGATTCTGGAGCACTATGCTCAATAAATGAGAGTTATTATCCAGTAGAGTGCATGGTTAAGAGTCTGGGCTCTGGAATCAGAGAAATAATTCAAATCCTAGCCACTTATGAGCTGGGTGTCTTAGATGACTTATTTAAAAAGAGCCAATACTTATTGAATATGTTCTAGGCATTAAGCCAAGTGCCTTCGAGATGTTATTCCATGTAACTTTCCCAGTAATTTTAGGAAGTAGGTACTATTAGTATCCTGATTTTATAAATGGAGATACTGAGGCATGGATTAATTTAGTGGTTTTACTTCACTGTCTCCTTTTTTTCCCTGATTATTTTCTAGTTTGAATTCTTTCTAAGAAACACACCTATCTTCTCTCTGTCAGTGCTTAAGAATTTTCTCCTGATTTTGAGCTTTGGAACAGGCCATAATCTCTTAAACACTCCTTCACTTCTCTTCACCGAGTTCTGTTCCTCCGCTCTGTTCCAGCCTTGCTGCTGACTCTCCTCTAAGAAACCCACCCTGCAAGCCTACGCAGGCCACTCCAGCATTTTCTCTCTCCTGTCCCCTGTCAGCTCCTGGATTTATTCCTCAGATTTGTCAGTTTTACTTTTCTTGGTATGTATCTCCTATCCAGGTCCTCATTGTACACCCTGGTCCCCCCTTAACACAAAAGACTTCCTGAAAGACAAGTATCCCTGGCCAATTTAATTTAACCAGCATCATACCTGCTTGTGTCACTGCTGGACCAGGCATTGAGTACTGTCCTGATTATTAAGACAGGCTGACAAAACATATATTGCTCATCCCTGCTCCATAAGAACAGATTTCACACCCAAAATGTTTAAGTCTGAAAACATGAGGGTTAGCGTCAGAGAAAAAGTTAAGGGTTGGCTGTGCCTTTTATTAGCTACTCGGTAATTTTTTTAATCGTAATTTTGTATTTTACTCAGTTCTATCAAAATGTCTCCTTTGTCAAAATGTTCCCCATATCAAATTGGCTTTGCCAAACTGATGTGCTTTGAGGCAAAGTTGGACTGAGACACGGATGGCTGCCTCTCAGGCCAGCACTCTTATCAGATAGGGCACAGTCTCCTGGCAGAGTGGGCTGGGGTCCAAGCACGGCAGATTCCAGGCCCAGGCCCAGGCAGATTCCAGGCCCAGACTCTGCTTTCATTTGTCTCCCGTGAGTCACTGCCTAAGCAGTTGGCCTGAGCAGATGCTCCACCCATTCTTTATCTCACTCCCCACACCTCCTTCTTCTCCCTTCTGGGTTACAGATCAGAAAGATAAGGGTGAAATGGGCAAGGGTGAGCTAGCTGCCTGCTTCCACCCCTCAGCCCCGACCCCAGTCTGTGCCTCTCAGTCTCTCCAGCCTCCTTGTTTCAGTAAATAAAACTAAGCCCCAGAGGACACTCTCACCTTCCCGCTCTACCCAGTTCAAAATACCCAATTCAAAAGTTGCAGAGCCTGTAAAACTTCCTCTAAACCTCTTTGAGTGGCTGGGAAAGAGATCCACAGCCCCTGGATCCCTGGACCCCTGGTGTAAACAGGGCGATTGCCTCCCCAGGGAGCAGTCCCTCCTCACTTTAGGGTCTCAGACTCAGTGGCTATTTTCATTTGTTTCTCGTTTTAATTTCTCTTTGTTTTTTTTTTGGATTTATTCCTCCGATTTGTCAGTTTTACTTTTCTTGGTATGTACCAACTGTGTGAACTTGGGCATGCATTTATTTCTCACAGCTCTCTTGCTGGGAAGTCCAGGATGAAGGTGCTGGATGAGTTGGTTCCTGGCGAGGGCCCTCTTCCTGGCTTGCAACACCTGCCTTCTCTGGGTGTCCTCATGTGGCAGAGAGAGAGAGAGAGAGAGAAAGAGAAAGTTCTGGTCTCTTTTACTCCTCTTCTAAGGACACTAATCCCATCATGGGGCCCCCACCCTCATGACCTCATCTAGACCTAATTACCTCCCCAAGGCCCTACTTCCAGATACCTTCACATTGGGAGTTAGGGCTTCCACATATAAATTTGAGGGAGAAATAGACATTTAGTTCATAATAGATGCTTATTGTAGAAAATTTTGAAAAATACAAAAAATTAAAACAGAAGAAAAGCACAACCTATCCTACCATCTAAAGGTAAACAGTGTCAGAAACTTCTTATATATTTCCTTCTAGTATTTCTCAATACTTTTAAAACTATATATCATACATAAATCTTTGTCTTACAAGCATTGCTCCATATTAAACGATCTTTATATAACATTTAATAATGTTTATGTATCCACCATTTTAAATGACTGAATAATATTTTATCCTATAACTATGTTATACTTTATGTGGGCCATCTCCTAATATTGGACACTGAGATTGTTTTCACTTTTTTACTGTAAAATTCACATTTATTCCTTGTGATGAGACTGTTTCGTGTCTTGACTATGATGGTGGTTCCACAATTCTACACATGATAAAATTGCATAGAACTAAATACACACATGTAAATAAGTGCATTGGTGAAATATGAGTAAAATGGTGAAATGTGAATAAGATATGTGGATTCTATGAATGTCAATTCCTTGATTATGAATATATAAGATATTGCTATAGACCAAGTATTTGTGTCCCTTCAAAGTTCATTGTTGAAACCTAATTCCCAATGTGGTGACATTTGGAGGTGATACGTGGAGCCCCCAATGGGATTAGTGCCCTTATAAAAGAGACTCCAGAGAGTTCCCTCACCCCTTCTGCCATGTGAGGACACAGCAAGATGACAGCCATCTTTGAACCAGAAAAGGGGCCCTCATCACACTCATCATCTGCCAGCGCCTTGATCTTGGACTTCCCAACTTCCAGAACTGTGAAAAATAAGTGTTTGTTTTTTAAGCCACCCAGTCTATGGTGTTTTGTTATATAGAATCTCTCAATATCATTTTTTACAACTGCATGTTAATCTATAAATTAACTCAAAAAGTTTTTTAAAATCCACTATGGTAGACATCTTTTATATGTACATGTGTACATCTCCACTTCTAAGTATTTCCTTTGGGTAGAGTCCTATGAGAGAAATTACTCATAAGAACATTCAGTAAGAAATAAGAGCTCTCAATCTTAGCACATAGGGATTTACTGGCTATCACCCAAGAAGCCTTGTGGGCATAGAAAACTGATAGGTATGTCAGCATAGGAAGAGGGTTTGGCCACACTTACAAACTGTTCTATGAACCTAGAATGCCAGTTCACTAATTTACAATGAAAGATGTAAGTGGAAAAGACCAGACCCGCCCCTGCCTCCCGCCATCGACCAGAGCTTTCTGTTCCTGTAGGCCCTCCACGGGCAGACCTGCATTAAAATCAGAAGACTGACAATATGGAGATAGTCAAAGCAAGGGAAAGTAAATGACATGATCCAAATGTTCCAAATATCAGGCTAAGGCCTGCTGCACACATCTCCATAGTAGAGCTAATCCGTTGTCAACAGGGACAGAGAAATAGGTTCTTGGGCCAGGGCACCCTTCCCTTAGCAGTACTTGAATGAGGACAGCCTATATTTGTCTCTGTAACTCTCCATTTCTGTGCTTCCAAGGTTTACTAACCCCTGTTTCAATCAACACATTGTTTCTTTAGGTGTGCGACTATATTCCAGCGAGTTATAGTCAAATTCTGTTTGCCTGGGAGATGATGTCTCATTAAAGTACTTGTCCTTAACCCCTGGTTCAGTGGACCTCTGGAAGGCTCTTATCCCCCCCGAAATCATCTGCAAAATTTTGATTGGTCATATATGCATTTTTTTTTTTTTTGAGAGAAAGAATTTGTAACGTTTACCAGATTTTCAGAAAAGGATATCAATTTAATAGTGAACATCACATGGCCCCCAGGCTCCAGACCTTGTATTGAGGATTTTACATACATTATTTCATTAAATCTCAATGAAGGCAAGATATTTGCCCCATGTTAACATCTGGGCAAGTTGAAGAACGATTGCTTTAAGGTGACTTTGTAAATCTTTTCTCTGGTGCGTTTGATGTCTATACAGGAAAGTGTTATCCCCCTACCCCTCTATCTTCCTAAGTGAAGAACAAAGTTACTGCAACAGGCACACACAGGAGCCTGCCAGATGAAGCTGTGGAATGGCTTTGTTGATTCTTCCGAGAGACTGAGCTCTGCTGTCTGCTCCAGTATCTCTAGTTACCTGTTTTATTTTCTTATGCACAGATCACTGTGTGCACTCAAATTAACTTGTGAACTAGCACTTCGTATCAGCATCTCACCCACTTTGACAGCTTGGCTGCCATCTTCTATAAATGCCCTTTTTTTCCAAAAAGCATGCCCACCTTCTGTTTATCCTCCCTTTTACTCTATCAGAGTCTAGACCCTTCAGGTTTTCTAAAGGATGACTGGGTTGCTTTTTATCAAAAGTAGTATGTATTTCTGTTCGTTTTCCAATAGAAAATCAGGCAAGAGGTTATTCAATTCTCTTATTCACTGAATACTCATTAATTTTCCAGACACTGTTCCAGGCACTAGGGATGTGCTAAAAATCTTTGCCCTCATGGCACCTCGGTTTTAAGGGGAGAAAACAGACAATAAACAAATAAACAAGTAAAGATATAGTCGATCAGATGCTTTTAAGTGTTGAGAAGAGAAATAAAATTGGGTCAGAGCATAGATAGAGAGTGTCAGGGAGGAGGCATTGCAGATTGACTTCAGGTGATCGGGGAAGGCCTCACTGAGAAGTGACAATTGAGTAGAGACCTCTATGGCATAGTGATGAAAACAAGTTTCAGGGTCAGATAGGCCTAAGTTCAAATCCTGACTCTGTACTTATAATGGTGTGGCCTTGGGCTAGACCTTTAATTTCTCCATTTACAGCAGGTAAATAAAAGTACCCACTTTATGAGGACGGGAACTGTTGTCATAGCTTTTGCTATATAATCTTGAGGGTCTATCCAATCCAGGGTTTCCTTATGTCTGGGGGGCCTTACTTGGATCCAGAGGCCCAAGGGGAGGGCCTGGAGTCCCCTGCTCTTTCTGAGTCCAGCAGCAAGATGAGGTCCAAACCTTCTCTAATGATGATTTAGATGAAAGTCACTGCAGCAGTATCCTCTCTAAAAACAAAAGGTTTTCGTTTTTAAGAAAGATTCCTCCTATTTCTCTCCTTTCCTTGTCTGATAAAGGTGCGGTCTTCAATCCAGTTCACTGATTGCAAAAACCTGGATTGATTCAACACAGTTGATCTATTTTCATCTCTCTACCACTTGCTTAAAATAAGGAGCTCATTGCTATTCCACCCACGGCTGTGTCTAAATCATAACTGGGCTGGGAGTTGCATACATTTTTCTCTCTTCTACTAAATACCATTTTTATCTTTGCTGAACCCACAAGTCCTCAGACGACAGTGTCTGCTTTAGCAGTCCATGTGTGGGCCTGAAGGAACAGACAGGTATTGAGGAACCCCTCCCTAGCTCCGAGTAAGCATCCCTCCCCATGACCTGTCTGTCTCCCACTGAAAATTCTCCTACACCTGGAGCTAGCAGAAGCCACCTCTCAAGCTGTCACCAATTTCTCCTTCTGTTTTCACCATCCTTCAGTTCTTGGGGGAAGGGGGGCTTTGTGAGCCTTCGAGTCTCCAGTTTCTCTTTCAAAGGTGGGACTCTAAGCACCCTCTGGACTGAAATCTCTTTTTTACCCCTCGTTATAAGAGGTAGAAAATTAGCAAAATGAGGAATTCAAGGAACTCCAAAATGCAATTTCATAAATATGAATCGAAAGAGACTCTCGACTCTTAAAAAGGAATGATGTCATGCTCTAAATTCAGCCTGAAACTCATTCTTTTTTATCTCTAATCCTCTCCTATCCAAGGTTTAACCCCTCCCATGTACCTCCTCTCTTCCTTCTCCCATGAAAAGGGTCAGCATTATTATCATCATTTTATAGACAATCAAATCAGCTCCGTTGGGGAGGGAGTCAGTGGTTTGGTCCAGATTAGGACCCGAAGCTCCCTTGAGGACAGACTAGAGCCCAAGGTGTCCCTTGACTGCCTCATTATTTTGATCATTTTGAATTTTTCCTTTTCAGTTAGCTCCTGTGCACTCGTGATAAGAAATCCTTACCACCTACTGTTGCAGACCTCACACACAAAGAAAGGCACTAGTAAAAAGAATAAGCACCCCATTCTGCTGTTGGAGAAACTGAGGGTAACTGGAAAACCTGAAGGTAAGGGCCCCAGAGAGAGTTAGGAATACAGGAGAGAGAACGAGAGCTGGCCTCTGCCTCTCAGCCAAAGCCATTCAGAGATGGCACTAAGCAAAGGCTTTTCCAGCAGTGGAGGTAGACAGCAGCAAGCCAACTACAAGACTGGCAAGAAAATAAGCTCTGAAGCTAGTGTGCCTCTAGCCAAACCTGATTCTGCTATTTACTAACTGTGTTACCCTGGACAAGTTATTTTGCCTTTCTGAGCCTCAGTTTCCTCATCTGTAAAATGGGAATACTAGTATTTCTACTTTATAGGGTTATATGGATTATATGAGATGATACAGTAAAAAGCGACAATGTGCAATAAAGAGTAACTATCAATGTAACATGTCTACAGCGTGCTAAGCACACTTATACGAATAATGCAGATTCCTCACCTTTGAGTTTACTGTCCCGTGGCCAGTATAGGCAAGTAGACATTTACCACAGAGTGTGCTGAGAGTGGTGCTGTCTATAGCCTTGGAATAGATCTTCCTGTCTCTCCGTGAAGTTAATTGTGTGAGAACAGAGAGACTGAACCCATGACCTTAGTAATGGGAACGTTAAAAAAATAATAGTAGATAGCAGTTGGCCATTATCAGAGAGAGGGTGTAAAATGTCATAGAAGTTAGTTATTTCATTTTATCCTCTGCAAGGCCTTATAAGATTTGCTGATGAGTAACTGAAGAGGTGAGTGTGGCTTTTCTGTGGCCACAATAAAAGTAATTGTCCCTAAGGCCCTGCACATACCAACCTTTACCCCGATAAAGGCCAGCAGGGTTGGTACTGGTATGTCATGTGCCCCCCTACCCACCTTGCGGCGGGGAAAATAAGTAGCATAATGGCCAAAGGGTAATTTGGGAAGAGACTGCTGGCCAGAACCTGGTGAATCTATCACCTACCAGTAAGCAGATCATTTTTATGAGGCCAAGGAATTTAGGAAAATGCCTTTCTGCAGGTTTAGGTTGAAGTGAAACCCTCTAGCGTACCCTCCCCTCAGTTGGATATAGCACAGTGGCAGAGGACGGGGGAATACGACAGAGGGCAGTTTGCCCTGTCGCTTTGTGCCAGTGACCTCTGCCCATACCCAGAGCTCCATTTAAGGGCATGTCCTGACACAGGTTGGACTTGAGGCCTTGTCTACCCTGCTTTGTGTCTGCCATGTCGTTTTTGTCTGTCCCTTCGCATGCATATGATACTGATAGAGTATAAATTCTTCTCGGCCCTGGATGCCCACAGATTCTATAAGAGCCCTGTCACTTCTTAGGAGACTGAGGCTCAGAGAAAGCACATGACACATCCAAGATGAAAGCTAGAAAGTGGAAATCCAAAGACCGGACCCTGGCTCTGGGGCTCTGAGTCCAGGGTGTCCCTCCCTGGGACCATAGATTTGGCTTTCCTAAGAGGGAGAGGTTCATCCCAAATGAGCAAAGGGTCCTTGGCCACAAAGGTCACTTCCTTTTCCTGATACCACTTTTCATGTGGGAGGTCACAGGGACATTAGGAAGCCAGTGGTGGAGGTGGAATGAGCCCCACTTGAGAGACAGGAGGCTAGAGCTCTCCTCTGACTCTGTGCCCTCTCTCCTGTGGTCTTGAGTGGGTCACTGTACCTCTCAGTGTCTTGGGGTCCTTGTCTACGATCAGGAATACCACATATTCCTTTCCCTGCTTATCTCTTGGGTATGATGAGAAGCAAAGTAACAAGTGATGTCAGACATGCTTTTGAGGATGTTAGAAGCATGATTCTGAATATCTTCAAACAAAAATGAGGGCTGGCCGGTGGCCCTCAGATGTTTTTTTCTTTTATTTCATTCATTCATTCACTCAATGCTGGAAAATGTTTGTTGAATACTTTCCTAATGTCAGATACTGTGTTAAATAATGGGGACCCAAGGAAATCCCCAGGCTTTGAAGAATTCAAAGGAAAGAGAGACAGATCTTAACAAATAATTATGGTATCTAGTAAATGTGAGGCCTTTTCAAGAGATGCCCACAATCAGGGAGACCTTTCATTGAGGTGTCCCGAGGTGCTGTGGAATGTAGAAAGGAGTGCAGTGAGGAACAGTTGGAGCCAGAGAAGGCCCACAAAAGGAGGGTGAGTAGGAGGGTGATGAGGATGTGGGGGAGTGGGAGGGACAGAGGAAACACCTTGTACAAGGCTCTAGAGAATATGTGAGTAGCTTAGCATAGCTGGAGCACTCACTGGTTGTGTGAGGGAAGTGTGGTGGCTGTTTCTTATTGTCAGAATGGAGCCTAGAGGTCACCCCAATGGTCATCTAGTGGTTCTCTCTGAGGCATGTTTACCTGTGTGAATCTGTGTACATTGGTTCGCCTCTCTGGGTTACAGTGAGAGGCCTATGTAAATGAAATTCAGGGATGGAGCTCCGTTTGATGTTCCACGGGAGGAGGGATTTTTAGGAAACTATCTCAAGTGCTAACTGGACATGCTCTGGGTTCCTAAGCTTCCAAGTTATACAGTGCTGTTCGGGTTACAATCTGAGCTCCAGGGTCCCACCCACTCCATGAGCACCTAGTGTTGGTTGGTGGTAGTTCCTGAGAGAAAGAGGGTTTAGTTGTGTTGGTTTGCTGCTGACTGGCATAACTTGCCTCATCAGGCAGGATTTTCAGCCAGCTCCTATGGTAGAAGTCTGTTTCCATTGGGCCCAGCATATACTGGGCCATCTCATCCCAAGTCCAAGCAGGATCAGTTTTAATCACAGCCCACTACAAACTTATGCAGAGAGAACTCCTTAGGACATCTTCTTCAGAAGGCGCTGTGAGTGGAGAAGGTACCTAGCTTTCCAGAACTCACCTCTTGGATGGCATTTCATTGGCATAGGCTGCGTTATCTATTCTCTGAGCCCTTTTCAATTAGGACATTAGAGTATAAAGTTGCCATTTCATGATTTCTTTTTCTTCTTTAATTTATCCTGATCTTAATGCAGAGCACAAATTGAGAAAGATAGCTATCTGATTTAAAATGGCCCCGGCAGCGGGGAGGGGCGGGGACCAATACAGTTAGATAAACTTTACTATATCCAAGGGAAAGATCTGTAAAGCTCTGAGTGCCTGCCTGACCTTCTATGAAAGGTGATCATCAAGTTTTTGCTTTAGTCTTTTTAGAACCAGATAGGCCACAGCAGGACTTCTGGGCCCAGCCACAGGCCAGCAAATAGCAGTGAGGAGCCGAGGGAATGGAAAGGGGTAAGATTGGGGACCTCATTGCATGTGACCTGTTCTCTAAGCCATCTGTTCTTATAAATCCCTCCTAGCAGCCCAGAGCAACTAGTGAGCAGGACAGGGGTCTTTGAAACACAAATTGCCAGTGATTACAAGGCCTTTGGGTGTGAGACTGTCTTTCCTCTCTCCAAGTGGCTATGGTTTATAAAGGATAAGCGATGTGTTTTTCTCTGTCTGGTCCAGTGTCCCTCCCATGCAGTGGCTAGGGGATGCTGTCAGAAGCTCCTGAGAGTGGCGGTGGATCGACTTCCAGAAAGACAAGTTAAAACCCAGCTCCAAGGTAAGCTCCAGAGCCTGGACCCTGGCAAATTAGTCTTTTGGCCTGGTTGCCATGGAGACAGACAGGCAGCAGCTGCGAGGGAAGAGGGAACAGCAGCTTCACCGACATCTAGGATTCTGAGACAGCCATGGTGGGGGAGGGGCCTTGACATCGCCCTTTCTCTCCCAGATACAGAGGCTCCTGTGTGCACCCCCCAGCTCCCAGACTCACAGGACCTGGTGAGTTGCCAGGGGCAAAAGGAGACATGACAGCGCTGGCTCCTGAACCTGATTTCCCGCTTCTAGGCCAGTTCCCTGCCATCAGACCACAGTTGCCTCCTGCTGGCTTTTGGAGCAAACAGATTTTCTAGCACTGAGCTCCTGGGCCCTGGGGAGGCGGGGTTCCCAAGTGCCCTCCTTGGAGGGGATACATCGTTAGAGGTGAATCCCAAAGTAGTGGCCACCAGAGGCCAATTTGGACGGGAGCTGTGTCCCTGTCTCTCTGGAAAGCCTGGCAGCGGCTGTGTGGGGGTGTGACCAGCCATTGTCTGGGAAAGGAACTTGAAGCTAAGCCCAGGGGCATCTGGGCAAATAGTGGGGTTTATTGTTTCCTCATTTGATGCTACATTGATATCATTAATTTGTGACTTCAAGCCCTGTCCTCCCTAGCCCAGAGGAGACAGTTCTCTCCTCCTTCGGGTTATCTCTGGGAATTAAAGGTGGGAGAGAGGGGGCCTGGGATCCAGGTCGCCTGAGTCCACTTTCACTGCAGAGCTGCCAGGAGGTTGTGTCTCAGGGTCAGTCTCCTCCCTTGGTAAGAGGAGAAATGAGGCTGGTGTTGTCCACGGCTTTGCAGGTGAGCAGGGTCGTTACCTAAGACAACAGAGCCCTAGTGTGGAGGGACAGCAGAACTGGAAAAAAGCAGCAGCTACTACCCACCAGGCAGGGCTTTTGGTGGTCATGTTGTTTTTATTATGATTTAATATAAAGTAAATGGAGAAAATGACCCATCACCTCATGCCCAAATCCTTCTTCCTGCTGGAAACTATTGATAATTTTGTTGTGTATCTTTTCAGCTCTTTCTCTAGGCTTATACTTTCCTCCCTTTATTATTATTTTTTAATTGCACAAATGATGTGAGAACACATTTTTATAAAAGATGCAAACACCACATATAAAATAGAAGTCATAGCAAGTCTTCTTTTAGTCTATTCTCTTCACCAAAAACAGCTATTGTTAACAGTTTACCGTCCTCAGTACATTTATGCACAAACACAAATACAGCATTTTAGCCTTTCTTTCTTTAGCATAAATGCAATCATAATATACATATCGTTCGGCAGATTGCTCTTCCAGACACAATAATATGTTACCCTGTAGATTTTTCCGTGTCGACATACCCACCCCATTCCCCATAACTGCTGCCTAATATTTTACATTATGGATGTTCTGTACTTATTTAAGTAGTCTCCTCTCATAGACACTTGCATTATTTATAATTTTTTGTTATTAATAATGCTTTGAACACTTGTGCATCTATTTATGCAGGGTTTATTTCTAGAAGTAGAATTGCTGGGTTAACATGTCAGTATATCTTTAATTTTTCTAAATATCATGGGGATTTATTTTTAAATTTTACCTTTTAGAAATGATCCAAGACATGGATACCCATCGAAAAAAAAAAAAAAGTGGAAAGTATAGAAAAGTGGAAAGTAGGGGGAACAAAATCACTCACAGTCCCTCCACCCAGTGGCCATGGCTGCTTACTTTTGGCATGTTTATTATTTTCTGTGCTTGCTATTGTTATGGGGATCAGATCATATTACACAGATAATTTTCTATCTGGCTTTTTTTTTTAAACTTAATATTATAAGCATTTTTTAATGTCACTAAAATATTTTTGTAAACATCCTTTTTATGATTTCATGATAGATATTATATGAACATACCATAATTTTCTTAGCTATTCCTCTATTCTTGGACTTTTAAGTTGCCTGTATTTTTTTCACTATAACACCTCGGTGAAAATCTTTTTCGTATAAATCTTTATCTGAAATTCAAAAATTTCCTTAAGCGAGACTCCCAAAAGGAGAATTACTGGGTCTAGAGGTGAGATTTTAGGGAATCTATTTTTTTAAAGTTGAACTTTGAATTGCTAATATTCGCACATGGTACAGAATTCCAAAGGTACTAAAGGTTATACAGTGAAAAAACTGTCTTTCTCCTACTCAGTCCCTCAGCTGTGGTTTTTCCTCCTTAAAGGCAATAATACTATAATCTGGTTTCTTGTGTATCTTTCCTAGAGGAAAAAAACACACACGTGCACATGCACGCACACACACACTCACACATACATATATAGGTATTCCTTTTTCATACAGAAATAATAGCATATCGGATACATATTTTCGTACTTTTCTCTTTTCACTTAACATTTCTCGATGATTGTTCCATATATAAAATACAGAACTGCCTCATTTTCTAGAAATATTATCCAGAATTTCTTTAAATGGATTTTATTGATACAGTTTGAGGTTGTTTCCCACCTTTTGCTATTTGAGTAGTGCAGTGATAAGCGTCCTTACATATATACCATTTTGTCCATGTGTTAGTGCGTCCATCTGTGGAATTGCTAGGTCCCAGGGAATGTGCATTTTACATGCCAGTAACTACTGCTATCTCCTTAGAAGGTGACCATTTCCTCATTAAAGTGGATGGGCAGTTTTCAAAGTCTTGATTCAAGTGGCTAAACTGCTTTTCAGAAGTGTTACCTATTTACACTCTCCTCAGCAATACACCAGTGCCCTGTTCACTCCTCTCAGTAAAAAATAGTATGATAACTGTGGTGTTTGTTCTCAACTGCCATTTTTTTTCAGAAGGATCTGTGAAAGATTATAAAAGTGAGCAAATACTTAAAAACATTTTTTTTTTTTAAATAAAAAAATAAATATAAACACAGGGTCAGGGAGAATTTCCCAACTCACTTTTGCCACTATGTATGTGTGACCTTGGGAATTGCTTATCCTCGCTGAGCCTGTAATGCCTTAGAGCTGTTGCGAGGAGGAGGTGCGATAATACACTTAGTACAGTGCTTGGCACACAGCAAGGGCTCATAAGATGGTAGCTATGAAGAAAACTTTAAGGAAAAAATGCCTGCCCCTCAAGTAATCCCAACAGTGAGAGGAAGGGAGCCTTCCAGGCTCTGAAAAGTAGGCTGGGTGGTACTAGTTTTGTTCTTATCCCAAATTCTCCCACTGGTCTTTCCTGCCTTGAAAAGGAGAAAGGATATCTGGCCTCTAGCTCTTGGGGGAGAAACATCCCACACCAGACCAGGTCCTTAAGAGGAGCACCTTGGAGGAGCCCAAGCAGAGTTTATTCTTCACCCTCCCTAGAGTCCCTGGCATAGAGCTTACACCTGTTATAGGAGCCTGGGAAGAGGAGTACTAACCTAGCCTTCCAATTCTTACTCAAAGCTAACGACAGGCGCTTGCTGCATGAGCCTTCCGTGGTCCAGCATTTCAGAGCTGCTGGGGGCGAGGGGGCGCCGCGGCTGGGTGTGCAACGGCAGGGAAGGTCCTTGTGAAATCTCCTTAGTGCTGTTCTCTGGCTGCGGGGCCTGGCCAGAGGGAGCCCACCCTCTCCGAGATGCTCCAAGTGGCAGGGAGGTGTGCTGGGGGCTCGTGCTGGGTGCTGGGTGCTGCAATCGGCTTGGCGAGCCTCTGCCGGGATCCGGATGGCCACCGCAGGCTCCACACCGCCAGAGGTCCAGCGAGGCTTAGCCTCCCGCTTCTCTCGAAACGGAGCTGCCGCGCTCAAAAATCAGCTTCTGGAGACGCCATTTCTGTTCCCACCCTTGCCTTGGCGGAGGAAGAGCCAATCAGATCCTTGTGTGCAGCTATGAAAGCTGCAGGTAGAAACTGCCTCGGGTGGGAGAGCAGATCTGTGAAACGCAGTGGAGCCATTTTCTGGGAGGATTTCCCGTCGTTTCCACTCACAGTATAATCACCGTGTTGGAGAATTTTAGCCACTCTCTCCCCTCCACCCTCCTTACACCAGGGTCTTTTCTTGAATTTTCAGGGAGAGCTGACAGGGACAATATGATATGATGCAAATATTGTGCTGTGGGGAACCAGTTGATCTGGGGTTTAGACTTGGCCCTGAACTTAACCTGCCGTGTGTGACTGTGAGTAAGCAGTACAGCTGCAGGCCTCAGTCTTCTCGCCTATAAAAAAATGCAGGAAGGAATAACATCAGACCATGTCAAGTATTGTCAAGGTTGTGGGGAAATGGATTCTATCTGTCCTTATCTAGAAAAGCTGAAAGTATTCATACCCTGTGTCCTGACAATTCTGTTTCTTGGTTTCTACCCTGGAGAAATACACATGCATTCAAGGTAGCTGTCCATTGCAGGACCATATCTAATAACAAATCATTGAAGACAGCTCATTGGCCACCTGAAAGGGAAACTATAAATAAAATAAGATCTAGGTTCATAATGTGTCACCATATTACAGTTAGAAGGAGTAAATTCGATCTATATGAATAGAACTCAAAATCTACTAAGGAAAAACAGAAAGTTGTAGAATAATGCACACAACATTATATGATTTTTACAATATATCAAACAGAACAGTAAATTTTCTATGGCATATTTAAACATACGTAAAAGCTTTTTCTTTTTAATGAAAAGATACAGTCCTCACTCACAAGAGCAGCTTTCTCCGGGGAGAGGGGTGGGGAGCTGGGATAGCCAGTAGAGGTGAAAGGGAACTTGAGCTTTTTTGGTAATATTCTAATTTTTTCTATTAAAAAAAAGACAGTACATTCATATATTAAGGAATTTTAAACTATATAAGAAGACACTAGAAACAAATACATCACCATGGTTAATTCCAGGTGATGGGGAATATGAGTAAATAGATATATAACTTGCCTGCTTGTGATAAGAAGAATGAAATATACAGGACAATGGGAAAAACAGGCTGGAACATGAAGAGTTCAGTTTTAGATATAATTAGTTCGAAATGCCTATGAGACAACCAAGTGGAGAGGCCGCGTGGGAGTTGGATAGATGTCTGGAGTCCAGGGCTTAAGCCCAGGCCAGATATATAAATTTGGCAGTCAGCAACATAGATGGTATTTAAAAACCAATGAGGGGCTGAGATCACCAGGGGTGTGATTAGATATAGAGAAGAGGTCAAGTACTGTGTCCTGCCATACTTAGAGGTGAAGGAAATGAAGCGGAACTAGCAAAGGAGACTTGCAGAGAACACCCAGGAAAACCAGAGTTAAACACCCTGGAAGCCAGGGAATAAGGCGATTCAAGGTCAGCCATGGCAAGGATGTGGATTTGGTCTTTGGATGACGTAATGTAGACATCATCAGTGGAGAGGAGTTGGACAACAAAGAGAGCCCTTCAGAGAGTGTTGTTATAATGGAAAGCAGAGAAACAGGGATTCTGGACGGAGTCGGGCTGGGGAGCGATTCAAGGTAGAATGAACTGCAGCATGTATATAAGCTGGTGGGAAGGAGCTGCAGGGTGTGAAAAACTAATGCGGGACAGGGACTTGAGAAAAGTGTGGATCCCCAGGTCTTCCTTTTTATTCTTCTGCCCCTCCCCTGTCTCTGCCTTTGTTTCTCTGTTTTCACCTGCCCTCTTCTCCTCGCCCCACTTTCTTTTCTTGCAACAAGCCCCCACAATCGACCTTATTTCCTTGAGAATGCAATGCAGCAATTCTGTATTCCAGGGAGGATTTACCAGATGATTTTGACCTTTCTTCATACAAAAACAGTGCTCTTTCAGGCCACCAAAACAGGGTCTTTACTGTCCCAAATGAGAATGGGTTGACCACCATGGGCCCCAGTAACCTCGCCTTCTGCCTGATGTCATACACCGCCAATATGGTTTACCTTTTCTTTGATGAGAATCTTGTGGACCCTGCTGAATTCTAAGGACATTGAAGGCAGAGACTCCACACAATGCTTTTTGAATCCCTCACGATACCTAGGTGGTGCTGCGTAAAAAAGTATTCATTTAATCAACATTTATTGAGTATATACTATGTGCCAGGGTCTGTGCTAGGTGTTCCGGATCTATAGTCCCTACCCTCAGAAAGCTCCTGGTCCAGACAGGAGGAAGACGTGTAATTAAATAATAGTAAATAAACTGTTGAGTGCTATACTAGAGAAATGTAGGGTGCCATGGAGGCTTAAAGAAGGAAGCGGTGGACTCTACAGGAGAGTGGATAGGAAGGACCTCACAGAGCAGGTGGCAAAGAGAGGGCACTTGAAAGATGGCCAAAGTTTTCCGGTGGACTGGAGGGGAGAGGACATTACAGGCAGAGAGAGTGCAAGGTCACAGAGGCGTAGAACAGCACGATATGCTTGGAAGGGCAAGTCTTTTGATACGATGGTACAATGGATGGGGGCGTGACAGGAACAGGGGGAAAAAATCCTGGAGAGATGGGAAAGAATTGTGGAGGGCCTTGTGTGCCATGCTGAGGGACTTGGCCTTTAATCCAAGAGGCACTGGCCAAGTGGAAGGACAGGATCAGGTTTTTAGAGAAAACTTTGTGGTGACAGTAAAGCCGAGGTTGACTTGCTTTTGGCAGTCATGGTATAAGAAAAAGTTTAGTTATAGTTAATTAGATGCCAATATTTAAAAATCAGGAGAGTTCACAAGAAAGTCTAAATTCCAGCTTCTCT